TATGGGTTAGAGAGGTCTAAGTTTCAAAAGGTCATTGATGAAAACAAAGGGAGGATAGCTGTCACCACTGACATGTGGACTGCCACAAACCAAAAAAGGGCCTACATGGCTGTTACTGGCCACTATATCGATAACTCTTGGAATCTGAGAAGCCATCTTTTGATGTTTGGTTACCTCCCTGCCCCACACACTAGTGAGAGGTTGGCTGTAAAGCTAGCTCAATGCCTCCAATCGTGGAATATTGATAGTAAATTGTCAACAATAACACTTGACAATTGTACTACCAATGATTCAATGATCAACATAGTTAAAAAAAGGCTGGTTTTGTCTAATCTAATTAGGGATGGATCACTTCTCCATATGAGGTGCTCTGCTCACATCCTTAATTTGATTGTGAGGGATGGTCTTGATGTTCTGAAAGATGGAATATATCAAATAAGGGAAAGTGTGGTTTTCTGGACATGCACACCTAGGAGGGTGGAGTCTTTTCATGCTACTGCTCAACAACTTAAACTAGCTGTTTCTAAGAAATTGGTCTTAGATTGTCCCACTCGCTGGAATTCCACCTACGAGATGCTTTCTAGTGCTATCCCGTATAAGGATGTGTTTTCTTTATTGAAAATAAGAGAACCTCATTATGACTATCTGCCTACTAATGAGCAGTGGGAGTTTGCTGCTATTTTGGTAGAGAAACTTGATGTTTTCAAGGACATAAGTATGATCTTTTCTGGTTCAAACTTCCCAACAGCGAATCAGTTTTTTCCTAAAGTGTGTGACTTGAGGTTACGATTGTTGGAATGGTTAAGTGACCCTAATCTGATGATTGTCTCTATGGCTGAGAAAATGTGGACTAAGTTTGCCAAATATTGGGATGATATTCACTTGTTGTTGGCCGTTGCTGTTGTGTTGGATCCACGTTATAAGTTGGAAATTGTTGGGTACTAAGCTGGTAAATTTGGTATTACTAGTACCGATCTTGTTTCTGAAAGGGTCAGATCTGTACTTGCTGACTTGGTTGTTGAATACCAAAGGAAATCATCCAAAAACTCGGCTGTTCCTTCTAGTTTGAATGCTTGTTCTTCGGCCACTGATCTGGATTTTGATCTATATGTGAGCCAAAGAAAGAAAACTAGAACAACTGTGGTTACTACCGAGTTAGATCACTATCTAGCTGAGTATGTTCATCCTAGAAAACCGGACTTCGATTTGTTGGGTTGGTGGAGATTCAATGGTGCCAAGTATCCCATTTTGCAAGAAATTGCAAGGGATTTACTTGCTGTACCTATTACGAGTGTTGCATCTGAATCTGCATTTAGTTCTGGTGGGAGACTGCTTGATCCCCATCGGAGCAGACTTGATCCTATGACAGTGGAAGCCATGATGATGCTAAGGACTTGGATTCAGGACGATAACAAAGGTATTCTGCTTGTTTAATTCCTGCCATGGTTTAAATTTCTTTAATTCTTTACAAGTCAACTAATTCCTCCATTATTTTGTAGTGACTGCCTCGGACGTGAAAGCGCTGGAGGGGGTGTTCTCGGCTATGGCAATGGAGGATGCCACGGTGGAAGAGTGCATAGGTAAGTCCTTGTATGGATTTGATTGGTTTATTAACTTAGGTTTCTGTTCTTTACTAAATACATTGCTTTGTAACAGATGGAGCTGGAACTCAGGGGGAGCAGAGAGGAGATGAAGATGATGTTGCTGCTGAGGTCAACCTGCTGGACTAGCTCATGGTTGGTGTTTTAACTTTTGAGCTCTAAGTTTCCTATACGAAAAATGCATCAGTATCAAGTGTTGAATGTTTAATGAAACTGTCCATTGCAGATTTTGTCCATGCTGGGCTGCTGGGTTGCTGCTGGGTTGATGTTGGGTTGCTGCTGGGCTGATATGGGTCTGGCGACTTGAAGAATGATTGTTGCTGGCTTGTTGGTTACTGCTTATTTATTTTTGGCTTTTAGATTGTGTTTGAAGTATCATGGTTCTGGGTTTGTTTGATTATTAGCTGAGAATTGCAGATGATTGTTGATTTGTTGGTGGGAGTTTCAGAATTCAGACTTTAAGACTTTAGTTCTTAGTTTTCACAAGTTCTGTTCTGTGGTATTTTAAGGTTAGAATCCTCTATTTCCAGACAGGTTTTGGGGTTTGCAATTCGTGAATAATGCTGGAATAGTGGAATGCATTATGTTTTTGTTTTTCCTTCATCTTTGAGTTCATTTATTATATACAGGTTTAGGTTAGTTGATGATTTTTGATGATTTTCATTAGGTGTTGGCAAGCCCCTTACCCGTGGGCTAACCGATGTCCGACTGGGTTTGGGCTTGGTCTTGATTTTATGCCCGTTTAGCTTAGTGGGCCGGGCACGGGTACAACCCGCGGGCAGGAATGGCGGGCAACGGATATAGGGTATCCGCACCGTATCCGACCCATTGCCATCCCTAGCTCTAAGGATGTTTTATTATTGTTAATGCTGACAGCTTTAAGGGCCCAATGAAATTTTAATAATTTGAGTTGTTAACTTGTTATTGCTTTTTGGGGAGTTATGGGCTCGTATTGGGCCGGCGAAAGCACGGCTGAAGGCTGATGCACAAGCCCAAAATGTCAAATTGATTTTCACGGCGGAATGTGGATACTGGATACGAAATTAGATGCCCAGCCTTGAGCCTACCCCATTGAAGTAATGAGCGCGGGACGGATATATCAATATCTGTACTTGTTTCGTGCTATGTGTGGGTCAGATTGAGTAATACTGATATGGGTATGCATCGGGGCAGTTTGACTGATTCTCTTATTTATTTAAAAAAATAACGTTGATATTTAACTAATTTACAAGAGTACATAGACAAAAACACTTTGTAAATGAATGAGACTACGAGAGATATAGTATAAGAAATAATTGAGTATAAACAGTTGAAAGACAGAGTCTTAAAAAAATTAGGATGAAAATATGATTTTAGAAAGGTTAAAAGATGAGAAATACAGATATTGATGCAAATTTTGAGAGAACTGGTAAATTTCTTTTGAAGCAATATCATTATCTCGTCCCACGCTACTGTGATTTGTGAATTTGATAATACCCACCCTAAACAAGTCGATGGATATTGAGTCGCACAAGTCCGTCGTTGCCAATACTAACCTGAAGTGATGAGGTCGATCAAGAAGACCTACTCATTCTGATGAGATTGGAGACCTAAACTAACTGGCGGTTTGGTTGGGTAAGTGAATGATAATATGACTTTCTTATTTGTTTCCGTAATAATATACTAATTTATAATTTACATTCATTCACAGAATATATCAATTCTAGTTATCACAAATATCAAACCATCCCTTAGTGAAATTGGTGCATTATAGAAGTAGAAGCCATGCAAGTTTGTATAAAACGATCATAGAAAGCAAACGAATTCCGAAACAACTAAAATCGAAAAATTAAGAAACAAGAAACAAGACAATTCAATTCGATCAACCTCCAACCAAATTAGCTTGGGATCTAATTGATTTAAAGCTCGATTAATCTAACAGTTGGATGGTGCATGGACTAACTTCTAAGTTATAACCCACTATATTATAAGATCATAGTGACCTCCTACCATGTCTTGAAGTTACTATAACTTGACGTTTTTTACCTGCTGTAGCAGGTTTTATAGGTCGCGTTACGTAAAACTAATGTTTATTTAATATAGAAGCGTTACGGAAGGTTTCCGTAACGACTTATCATTTTACGTAACGCTAGATTAATATTCATTACGTAAAAGCATCGTCTATTACATAAGGCTTCCGTAATGACATTTTAAAACTGTTACATAAAATATAAGCTCATTACGTAAAGGTTACGTAATGAAGGTTATTTCTTACGTAACAGTTGAATTAGAAGTGTTACGTAAGACTTCCGTAATGACTTACCACATTACGTAACTTGATTAATATCATTACGTAAAAGGACCATCCATTACGTAAGGCTTCCGTAATGCCACTTTACAATTGTTACGTAAAGTATGCATCTATTACGTAAAGGTTACGTAACGATAGTTATTTCTTATGTAACAGTTAAATTAGAAGTGTTACGTAAGCTTTCCGTAATGATTCAACAAATTACGTAACGAAAGGTTAATATTCATTACGTAAAATGAGTGTCTATTACGTAAGGTTTCCGTGATGACATTTTTCAACTATTACGTAAGATAAACACACATTACGTAACCATTACGTAATGTCTATTGTATTTTACGTAATGCGACTTGTGAAACCTGTTATAGCAAGTCAAAAACATCAAGTTACCATAACTTCAAGGTATTGTAGGAATTTCCTAAGATCATAACTCGATCAGCCTAGAAATAAATGTTAACCAAATCTATAATTAGTCAAATTGAATTGGTGAATCGGTCTGATTCGAGTGATCTATAATTTCATTTTCTTCCTTTCTATTCTAAAAATAACTAAGTTTTTACTTAAAATAATTTAATCCCTAAACACAAAAAAAATAAAAAATAAGCCAAATAGATATAGATCAAATATAATATGTCAAAACTTTGTCACCTATTCCTTCTTCACTTTTTCCTTTACTATTTTTAGGATTTATATTCAAAAACAATAATGAAATACTAATCTAAATATCTTTTAAATATCTAACTGTAATTTGAATATGGGTATTGGTACAAATTTATAGATTAAAAATCGAGTTAATTGCATGATTGGTCACTAAAATTACAAAAAGAGTTCATGTTTGGTAAATGGAACGAATTGGTTCTCCGGGTATGTTTTTCTTCTTAGTGCATGTTTGTGAATTCATGGATTATGCTCATACCTGTAATAATCAACCAAATTATTTATCAAAATGGTATGTCTATGTAAATTCTTAGCTTTTAATATTATCAACTTGGTTTAAACAAGTTATACCAAGTAGTAGTACAGTTAGTCATTAACTAATTTGGTGTAGGATCCATTGGTCAGAATGTCATTTGAATATGTATATATTAGTGAAAACAATTTAATCCCGTCCTGCGGGTATCACCCGACCTGATATGTGATGCGGCGTGTAATACTCGATTCGGGGTAGTGTGGGGCGGGGCATGGGTACCTACTATCTATTTTCCGACCTGTCGTTTCCCGTCCCGTTCTTGACTCATTCTATCTCACCCGACTCGGGGTAGTGTGGGGCGAAGCATGGGTATCTACTATCTATTTTCCGACCCGCCGTGTCCCGTCCCATTCTTGACTCATTCTATCTCAATTTCTTACAGTATCTATACATATTTCTCCGATTTTGACTTTTCTTCAACTAGTTAGAGTTGATCTATCAACTTGTTAGACTCATTTACCCATCCAATTATCATTATTTTTCATACATAAAGTGTTTTCACATTAGATTTATCATAAAAAGTAAAATTTGCGTCTATTTTTTTAAATAACATGTAAGAGTGGGTCATCCCGCACCGTACCCCGTCCTGCCCCATTGCCATCACTAATATATATGATATTCTAAAGTTTTCAAAATATTTCAAATGTGTATTTACAGTAGCTAAATTAATTGTTAAAATTTAATTGAAATAATCAAAATGTGAAAATCAAAATATGAAACACCAAAGAAATACTTATGAAATAGTTAGTGGGCTAGTTAACCATAGTGAAAAAGTCATGTTTTTAAGACTTTAGGTTTGTGATTCATACGTTTTTAGTTTAAAAAGATAATAAAAATTTTGTAGTGTAATTGTTAATGATTCATATTATTGTTTAAAGAGACCATTGTTCAAATATTAGGAACAATGTATTTTTTTCCTATGAGTAAGACAAATCTATACTTTTTACTTTTACTCTGATCTAGTTGAAAGAAATTTGAAATGATAAAAAACTCCTATGAACTCTAGTATTATATATTTGTGGATATTAGATGTTGACGAAATGATGGAGTTGTTATACGATTTTGCTTTTGAAATTTTGATAACCACTTATATTAATAGCTATGATTTATAGTAGAGTTATGTATTTTTGGAACTCTCAATATGAATTGTTGCAGCAACTATTTGTTCTTGGCATAAAAATGTGTTCTGATCTATAATCACTTTTATGTCTAAGAGCTAAATCCACGTATAAGTGATGACGTGTCGAGTTATTTTGACAAACTGAATATTGATTTGATCGTGTTTTTAAATTCTGGAAATCTCTAGTATTGATTGTTTGATGTAAGTATACGTTATGATGGATCGAGTTTTCAAGACGAATAGTCACATGGTTGTGTTTTCAAATTTTAGTAACCCCTACCTTTAACAAATTGATTTTCTTTTAAATTATGATGGATTTCTGTAAATTGAATTCATTTGATGAGATAAATAAGAAAAAGGCATACAATGTAATTCCTTGTCCTACCATATGTGAGTATATTGGTTCTTGATAATATATGCTCTTGTATTCAACTTTTGATAGCTACTAAATATTAATGGATTAGTTTAACTTCAAGTTCACTAATGCAAATTGTTTTTTTTATTGAAGTAATACACTGTCACCTTTTTCAACAATACAAAGTGTTATGTTACCATGGAAATTATTATGACAAAAAAAAAAAAAAAACAACCTGCAACAATTGGCAACACAATCTTTTTTACAGTTCCACTGATTCCTTGACTGATTCCTTGTTTGCTCTTATATCTGTTCTTCTTCAGGAGGCATGAAATAGTGTATCCACCAGGGAAGCTAGAGAAGCCATATGAAAAGCTTCTCCGAGCCGATCAAAGGCTCTTTCAACTAAGCCGCAACCCATTCCCCAGTCTCCAAGATCCTTGCTTTCCACCTCTGCCTGACTTCTGTCCCGGTTTCAACCCGACCCTCAACCCGGTTCTGTACCCAAACCCTCAGCAGCACTTCTCCCAGTTTTCCTCTCCATCCCCAATTTCAGGTATTAACAAATAACAATGTAGCAAAAGCTCCTTCCTTTTCTCCTTACCACTTTCTTCTAAGATAACATACTATTCATTTTCCCCCATTTAGATCTGCAAATGACTAACAATGCTGCAATGTGGGTGAGATGATGCCAAAGCCCAACCCGAATGTCGGGCTGGTTGCCGCCATGGGGGGCCAGTACTTGGCACCAGAGAGAATATATTATGATTCCAGCTCAGGAGCTTCTTTATCAGATGGGCATATCAACAGCAACAACCTGTTTGATACTGAAATGAGCAGCAATCAATTCAGTGGGTCGGTATCGGACGGGTCACCTTCTTCAGTTGATAAGAATTTCCTGATGATGCAAAGATTGGAAATCCTGGGGAATCTGGAGACTGGTCTTGATGCTGACCTGGCGATTCGTCGCAACGAGATGTTCGACAACCAGCAGCAGCAGGGTTTTGTTCCAGATCCGGCTGCTGCTGGTTTGATTACAAGTGGGGAAATGTATGCGCAGCAGCAGCAGCATCAGCATCAGCATCAGCAGGTTTTGGTTCCGGATCGTGCTTCTACTGGTATGATTATGAGTGGTGGGCAAATGTATCAGCAGCAGCCATCAGGGTTTTATGGGTATCCCTACCCTGTTGGAGGGATTGCTGGTGCTGGGATGGTGCATTTCGACTTCTAAGAATGGATCTCGACCCGGCACAACAGTTTTAGGTAAAAGAAAGTTTTGAGAGTAGGGGTAGGTTCTGAAAATTCTGCACATAGCTTGCAGAAGCTTATTTTTTTCCCCATTGTTAGGCCAATTTTGGTATGAGACTTTCAGCCTTGGTTTTTCTTAGGTGTAGTAGGGGTTTAGGGAAAAGATTGGAACTTTACTAGGTTTTGCGCTTAGTTGGGGGCTGGGGGAATTGATGAATAAGGGATCTTCAGAGATTCTCATGTTTTGTATCATGGAGAGTGAAGTGAGCAGATCTCTCGAATCTGATGCAGAAACTGAAACACAGCAGAATAAATGGAATTTCTTGTCAAGTTTTGTTACGGCAAAGGAAGGATATAGTACCATAATCGTAGTAATAATTTTGAGTTATTGCGATAAATTGATATTCTATACGTTGATAGAGAGATCCTGTGTTTGAGTTTTGCCTGACAATAAGTACTAACTGTTAACTTATTTTGATGATAATAACAGACCGTGAAAACTTTAACTCTATCAGTTGATTTAACATGAATAGTTTGGCTTATCAATTCACCAAAATTAATAGTGAGGACTGAGGGAGTCCCATATACTCTCATAGTCATTATTTACTTTACGAAATGACTACAATGCCAGTTATTCCATCATGTCATAAAACAAAAATCAAAGCCACCGTTCCTGTAAATGTGATTGAGCCAACATGTTTATAGATTCTCATTCAACTCATAAGTTTGCGCTTGACAATGAAAACTAAACTCTATGCAGAAAGACTAGAAACTATGTTTCTGAAGAAACATTCTACTGAAGAGAAGGGACCAATTCAATAAATTATCTGTTCTGCTAAATGGTCTCATTCGATTCTAAGTAAGGTTTAAAGTCTTTGGATGAGGAGATTTACTCGATCGATCATCGGCCGATTTTCTTGCAACTTCATTCGCAGCACCGCCTTTCTCATTGGTCATCTCGATGTGCCGCCTTTTCTTCGGATGTTTCAACATAGAGTTATCCTTCAGACTTGCTATCGTCAACTCCTCTTCTTTCTCTGCCTCTTTCTTGTTCTCTTTCTCCCTGGAAGCTTGTGGTTCAGGATTACTCGGAGGTGGAAACAACGCAGGCTCTTGGCCGCTTAATTTGCAGAACACTCTTTCGACCGTTTCACTTATTTCTTTCCCCAGGCCATTGTTGTCCAGAATCAATTCCCATACCGATTTCGAAGCCTTCTCGAGCACCGGAGTTCTACAAATGACAAGAAAATGAAAATGCAGCTAATTGGATCAGGTTGAGCTTTGAATGAATAGCATCAAGTACAGAAAAGGAAGGAGAAAATAACACGTATAGAGACACCTACTCAAGTTCTTGTCGAAGTGCATCGAATAGTTCCCTCTTGGTCTGTTTCTCTGCGCCAGGGGTATTTAAAACCTTACTCTGCTCGGCCATTTTGATGGTTGTATTCTTCAGCTCTTCCTGTGAAAACAAAAAAAAAAAAGAAGAAGAAGAAGAAGAAGAAGAAGAAGAAGAAGAAGAAGAAGAAAGAGTTAGAGCTACTCACACAATCAATTACTTTCAGAATTCAAAAAGTATGCAGAAGATGATAAAGATGCAAACAGTTCAAAAGGCTTAACTCGTAGGCACGCAGTTCTTCTAGCAAACAAAAGGTTTGATCACGAAGAGACCATGGACAAGGGTTTCCAATATAAAATAAGTTCTGATATAATGTTAAATCTTTAGAGAAAGAAATCATCGTGGTTTCTGTTATAAGTACCAATGAAATGCTAATTCTTTAGATAAAGAAAATCCTTGATACATTGCATTCACGGTTACTAAGCATGTAACGCTTCAATGTTCTGACAAATGTACCATTGTTCTTATTGACTCGAATCGACCACCAATCAAACAACCAACGTAACAAAAAGCTTAAGTCTTGATTGAAGCAATGAGCCTCCCGAGGATCGACAGCATTAACAAATATGCCATACGGGTTCAACAAACGAAATGATCGATCAAAAGGGCCACGTGGACTCGAGAGGAGACCAGTGGTGTTGTTTACTTTTTCCTTATCAATCATGAAACCACAAACTATAACTAATCACATTTTAACCCCACTTGCATACCAGGGTGGAACAAGTTGATTCTCTTCATCACTATGAATCAACATAACCTGATTCTTTGGAACTCTTTCCTCTTCTCATTAACAGTAAGCAAATTCAAATTTCCAACCAAACATCAGCCAAACAGTAGCCATTCCCCAATTTCCATCCGAAATTTCGAATTTTACTAATAAATTCAAACAACACTAGTACGGTAAGGCAAATTGAAATTCAAGAGACAGAGAAAGAGAAAGAGAGATGGGGGTACATTGGCCTTGAGCTGATTGATGATCTTCAATCTCAGAGCATCAATTGTGCCGTCGTTCATCAGACATTCCAACACGTCCTCCGGAGATATCACCGACGACGAAGAAGAAGAGGACGCTTCCATATTCCCCCTTGAGCAAAACCAGAAAATAAGAACCCTAGAAAGGATGAATTCGCTCCCTTTTCGTTCTTCAGGCCAATCTTCTTTCTCTTATCTATCGGCTTAATAGAAACAACAAATACCCAAGACGTGGGGAAAAGTAAGATTCAATTCCCTATCTTCAAAACCCATTGGAAAAAGGGGGCATAAGATCGAATCCCCTCAACAGAAACCAGGAGGAAGGGAGAATTAGAACCTGCAAGAAAACTACGCGCCGAGACGAGCTGGGTCTGCCGCCGTAAACATCCAAAGCAGTGTGAAGAGAGTTCGCACATAATTTATGAGGTAGACGACGAAAGGCGCCCCCTTTTGAACCCCTTTTGTTTTATTGGGCACCCCAGCTGCTGCTGCTGCTGTCGCTGATTCTGCAGAGAATGGTGAAGATTGAAGAACAAGGGGAACTAATCTGATTCCTCGCTCAAATCGCAACTGGTTGGAAAGACTCGTACGACGTCGTTTGGCCGAACTCCGGTCGCCTTTGGCGGTTAACGGTCGCTGACTAGGGGGAACTGGGAAGAGAGGCCTCGGGGTTCTAAATAAATATATGTATTTTCAATTTCATAAACTAAAAATTATAAAAATACAATTTATCAGGAAATATACAATGTAACTAGAATTATCTAGAAAAATATGAATCTATAGTATTTTTTTTTAAGTTCAAGTCTAGTATAAGTTCATTTTGAAGTTTCCTCATTGCACTTAAAATCTCATATTGTGTTCTCTAATTGCAACAAGTAGTCTAAAAACTGGATGTGGGTTTAAATATTTCTTTTCGCGTGACCACTTCCAAGAGTGTTGAATCACCATCTCATGTATCCTCGATCGAACTCTTAATGACGCCAACCACAATTGCTTCTAAACTTTGTGCCTCGATATATACATCATTTTCACCTAGATACTCAAACAACTGATTTACATCAATTTTGATATGATAAACCATACAATTAATCATATACTCAAATTCATTTACTTCTTGTTCAAAATTTATTCACTTGAGCCGACTTCATCTCTTAAACATATTTAAACGTTTAAGATAATACAATGAGATAACACAATGAATCGTAAAAGTTAAGTTTATCAAAATATAAAAAAAATATTTTTACTAAATAAAATTAACACACACGATATATAAATCTTATTTTAGGAGTATAAATTCATTTATGTTAACTATATACATTATACAAAAAATATTTTTGAATTAATAAATTATTAATTTATCAATTAATTAATAAATTTTTATGGTCTTAACTTTATTAATTTATAGAGGTTCACAACATGCTCAATATTTCAGTACAGTATCACCTATCCAACAACAATAAATTACTCTCTTCCTTGGAATCTTCCCAAATCATTGGGACCATCTCCCTCCTGCCAGCTTATCACTGCTCTTGTCTTTCAAAAGGAAGGGTTCATTGGTATTCTTCATCTTTATCCAATGAAGATGAAAGATAGCTCAAGATGAAGCCGTCTAGCTCTCCTTCAAGCACTGAATCAGGGTTAGAAACCCTGATAGCTCAAGATGAAGCCGTCTAGCTCTCCTTCAAGCACTGAATCAGGGTTAGAAACCTCGTGGCTGGTTCGAAGATCCTTAACCATACGGTATGGCTGGAGAGAAACGCAGAGCAAGCCAAAACTGTTAAATTCATTCAGCCAACCAAAACAACAGTGAAAGTTCTCTACAAACATACCAGTAATGCATGGAAGTTTAAGAAATGGTTCTTTGATCACTTACATGAAGGACGTAAGTGCGAATTTGATTGCCCCAGCTGATTTCCGTCAATGATTGAGTGTGCTGAGCATTCACCTGGGCCTGCCGCGCCATCTCGAGCTGGTCCAGCCGCGACTGAAGCACTGACATTGCTGATGCCTTGTTCATATGCTGTGATCTGTAGTTAATACCCCCCTGACAGAATTATTTCAACATTTGGAGCATAAGGAGAATTTAGGGACATAACCCTGACAATATCTAAAGGTAATAAATAAGAAGTTTCACCTTTCGTTCTGACATGTGGCAGTTACCCCAGTTGGAATATGAACTATCCTCACAGCACTGTCAGTCGTGTTAACACTTTGCCCACCAGCTCCTCCAGATCGAAACCGTTCGATTCGTAAGTCGGATTAGTTGATCTGAACATGTGTGAACCCTTCACCAAGAATTGGGATCACAGCAACTGCTGCAAACGACGTGTGCCGCCTTTTACTGCTGTCGAAAGGCGAGATTCGCACCAGCCTGTGGACTCCTACTTCTGCTTTTGCATAGCCAAATGCATATTCACCATCTAGTCTGATGGTTGCCCGCTGAAAGTAGCAAAAGAAATATCAAATTTAGACATGTTTGGTTAACGGGAGATAACTCGGCAAAAATAGTCATGGAACTTCATGGAGTTGAAACACTAGGAATATGAAGAAAATGATAATGAATGACAAGGTAAAGAAAATCGAATAATTTGACATTTGTTATACACTCATTTTGAAGGTGTGAGTTCTGATTGAACAGTACGAGCTACCGGAGGATCATACACCAGTATCCCCAAAGTGACTCATACATGGGCAGGTATGCAAAAACCTTATCTGTTCGGGGGATGGGCAGAATACCAATTTTGAGAACCGGGATGGTAACGAGGATAGAGATATCTTTCTCAGACCTACCCAATTATTATCCCTACTAAAGAGCAGAAATTCATAAGAGCTACAAGATTGTGTGCTTCTGTAATCAGATAAAGATGATATAACCTTGATTCCTGCCATCTCACCAGACATCTCGTCGACCAATGTCACTCTAAACCCTCGGCGTTGAGCCCATAGTTTATACATCTGCATCACCATTTTCGCCCAGTCCATGCTCTCAGTACCACCAGCTCCAGCTTGAACCTATTTTCATGCATCAAGAAATAAAGACATAAGCTTTAAGCAATGAAAGTTCCATAAACAAACGTTTATCATACAGCAGAGCAATTTGGACAGTAACATATCAGTAAATTGGAGAGCTACCTCAATGTAACATGAGCAAGAATCATGCTCTGCGTATAACAAAGCTTCTAGCTCTTTCTCTTTGGAATTTCTTCTCATCTCAAGCATGGCTTTCAATGATTCCTGCAGAGCAAACAAGTAGTCAATTCATTGATCATGCTAAAGTTACACATGATATCTCCCATCTCGGTTCAAATTACAATTTGGTCACATATCATGTTCATGTGTATCACAATAAGCATTAAGACAATTAAAAAAACGAAATGTCCCTACGACGACTTCATTAGCATTATCTGTTTCCCAGAATCAACAACATAATGGCGAAAACGGATGGGAAAACAACAATGATAAGATGAAATATTAGGATGATTTTGGTGCTTAGTTGTTTCGATCTTGAATTCAGTGTCCAATGTGAGATATATAATTTGAGGTATGTAACCAAATTGGTATTTAACCCGTTCCATCTTAATAGCAGCCAACCCTTCTGTTCAATAGTTCAAGGCTAACATTTAAAGTTAAGCAAGAGATAATCAGGTTCTCAGTATATTGTCCCGGTACGAGTTCTACCAAGTAATTTGCTCATCAGGGCACAAGGAAAAAGAGTACATGCCTAAACAACAAGAAGCAAGGTTTCCCACCAATTCCAAGTCGGAGTCCTCCGCTTCTTCACGAGCCAACTTTATCATATCAATGTGCTCAATCAAATCTTGCTCCAATGCTTTCACCTCTTTCATCTTACCCATCATCGAGCCATGCTCGCGGCTTAACTTTCCAGCAAGTACAGGATCATCCCATAGGTTTGGCTTATTCAGCTGTGCTGATAGCAGATCTAATCTAACCATCAACTTATTCCACTGCCACACATTACAATCATGTATCAAATACAATATAAAAACAACTAGAAATCATGCAGAAATTGACAGCCAGGGTCCTAGAAATGAACTGAAATTTCAGCCACTCCAGAAAAAAGGGATGCTTTGCAAAACGGATTGTTCAAGTACATAGATTATTAAGAATGTGCAGGTTTCGAAATGGTCAGGTTGTGAGGATATATTGCTTTTGGATGAGCAGCAATCCATAAGATGATGAATTTCGGACAACAATCCACCCATTCCATGATCCAAATGACCCCTGAGAAGTTCAATTTAAATTGAACCATCGACTGAATAATTGCATTCTGAATTTCTAGAACCTAATAACAGCCGTTACCTGCAACCGCTTCTTGATGACTTGAATGGACTGGGCAATAGCAGCAGCATGGCTCTTCCAATCACTCTCACTTTCATCAAGAATGGCCCATTTACTAGCAACAATTCTATCAACAGTCAAGCCATCGGAAGTAGACAGCTCCGCAGCTGCTGCCGCATGTGTACTAAGACTACGAAAAAACCTCCTCTGGAACTGAAGCTCTCTATTCAAGACGCCGTTTGAAGAGAAGCCGGAATAAGCCAGGACCTGGTGATTCTTCCTTACAGATTGTGAAGAGTGAAGCTTTGAAGAATGGAGGAGTGCGTTCTGTGGCTCGGGTTGAAGAGGGCAGAAAGGAAGCTGCGAGGAGACTCTTGGAACAGATCCTAGATCTTCTGAGCGCCAAAGCTGACATCTTTCGGCCCTTGGTTTCCTAATCGACGGAGATCGAAGGCATTCGAGGCTTTTCTGCTCTATTCCCAACAGAACCTCGAACTCGACTTCTAGATTCTGCCGCCAATTCCAAGGGATTTCAAGTTCTGATTCTTCAGCTGCTCGATGATCGGAGAATTAAAGCTGAAACCTTTCCCCTTTCTTCCCCGATCCAATTTGACGAAGGAGTAATGAGCTAACGACTAACGAGTTTTCCTCTCCAGGGTTTAACAGGGGAGTTGAGTTGAACAACCCGCGAGGGTTTAATGGGGAAAGGAAGCAATAAACGACAGCGTCCCCGGCCGCCGTCAGAACCAATGAACAAAAGCCCTGCTATAAAACCTCTTTCACCACTCTCGCACTCTCTCTTTTCTCTTAGTCCACCAACAGCGCCCTCCTCTCCGTTTCGTGCTCCGGCCATGGCGAACCCTAATTCGCTCTGCTTGATCCTCCTCCTCTCTTCTCTCGCCCTCGGCAACCAATTTCTTAAGAATCAAACCTCTTAACTAATGAACTACGTCTCTCTTCCCGCAAAACCCTTCTTCCTCGTCTCCAGGAAACCCCTCTTCTCCTTCTCCCTTCACATAATCCCCGCCATTAAAATGTCAACTTTCACCAACAACCCTTCTGAGCTTTCCCCTTCTATTTCCCTCCAAAACTACCCTAAACCCTTATCCCCACCTCTTCCCGCCATCTCCAAAGAGATAGAGCTCGCCAGAGCCATGTCCGCCTCTTCAAGATCCAGTCTTTTCTCCTTGTCAGCGTCTGAAGTCTTGTTTGAAGATCAATGGCTGATGGCCGTCAATAAACCTCAAGGAATTTACTGCGAGGCCGTCTTGACATCCGTCCCAGCCCTTCTCCTTTCCCGCTCAAAAACCGCCCCAGTCGTACCGGCCATTGGTAAATCATTATCTGTCTCGTCCTGTGCAATTGAAGTTTCCTATTTCATGTTTAGTTATTGTGAACAATTTTTCCCCTTAACACTACCATGAATTTGAATTCCGCGCTCCAAAACTAGATGTTTGTGTTGCAGATAATACAAAGGGATCCCCGGAGCTCCACCTGGCGAATCGGCTCGATCGGGACACGAGCGGAGTGATGATCATCACCAAGTCGCACAAGGTAGCCGCTAAGCTAGTCAAGGCATTTACTGATCACAAGGTGAGGAAGACTTACATTGCTTCGTGCGTTGGTCCATCTCCAGATTGGAAAAGGATTACAGTTAAATCAGGCCACGGTCGGTCCAAATTTGGGGCGTGGCGTGTCTATGCAGCATCAGATGCGGGGCGGATCTTGCCAGGTGGGTCTTCGGTTAGGGACATGGAGACTTCATTCGAGGTGTTGTCTGTGAATGGGAAGAGAAGAAGCTTAGGAGAATCATTAGAGGAAGAATGTGGGGAAACTATAGTTGTTAAGGAGAAATCAGTGAAATGTGGTAATAATGGTGGTGGTGGTGAAATGCAGGATGAGGTTTTGATTAGGGCGTTTCCTAGGAGTGGAAGGACTCATCAAATTCGCTTGCATTGCCAGTTTATCGGGTTGTCGATAAAGGGTGATGTGAAGTATGAAGGAGTTCATGAGTGGGATGGGGAAGTGTGTAGTGGCCATGAATTACATGCAGAGAGTTTGTCTTTTGAGCATCCTATGACTGGTCTTCCCATGAAGGTTCATGCGCCTCTGCCTTCATGGGCGACTCATTTGTTGCCTGAATCATAGGATCAGTTTTGGTGGACAACTAGGTTGGGAGGTGGTAGATGCATATGTTGCTCAATTTTGACGACATGGGAGCTGGTACGTTGGAATCTTGAACGAATAGGAGAATGGTTCATGTTGTTGCTCGTCGAGAAAGCTGCCTTTTTGCTCCAGGTGATAATTTGCTTTGTTATGATGAGAGCTTTTCTTTTTAGCATCTTGTTACTGGTCTTGCCATGAAAGTTCATGCGCCTTTGCATACACGTTGCTGCCTGGATAGTAGGATTCTATGTGGCCTTCTGTCTTCTGAAGTTCATGTGGATGCACAGATGGGTCGTAGGTGGTTGATGCTTATCGATTGACTAAATGTGTGCTTGTAAAGTTGGAATCTTGAAGGAATTATCACGATTGTTCATGTTGTGGCTTGTTGAGAAAGCAATAGCCTTTTGGCTTCAACATTGAGTTAGGTTAACTAATATATCTATGGCGAATTCTTGATTCCTGTCCCTGACTTGTTTTCTTATGAAGTCCTAAAATTGTTGTTATTGCCATCTACCCATATAGAAAGAAGGGGAGAAGTATGGACAAGATATGTTGAAAACATGGGACTTTTCCTTTACCTTTTTTCCAACATTGAAGAAATCAACTGTTTGGTCTCAACAAAATGTTATTCAACTATGTCACTCTCTCTGGTGTCAGGCAGGCCAGGGTATATTTTCTTCTTTTACCTTCTTGCCTTGGGAGAAAGGAGATGTGTCATTATGTGCGCGGAGGATCAATGCTCATTGTTTGTGTGAAAGGTATATGGGCTATTGGGGTGGAGAGGGTGCCTATATCAGGGGGAGTTTAGTCTCAATTGGCAGGTTTGGATTTTGGCGCCTTCTCTTTCCTTTTTTCCTCCTCCTTGCTCTTCGTTCTGGTTGTTCGACACAAGTTGTGTTTTCCATGGATGCGACTCTTTTGTGTAATTCAAAGGGAGGGAGTCGGGATGTTACTCTGCGTCTCCGCCTGCTGCACATGTGGGTCGCCAAGACGCCCTCCAGTTTGAGGATTTTCAACCACTGTTGCATGTGGGTGGATCAAACAGTAAGTGCTTGGAACTGCTAGATGGGGTTGTTTTTGTTGCATTTATGCTTGCAACTGCTTATTTACGTATATCCATATACAGTTCATGTTGAATCCCGCAAAGAAAATCATCTGTTTTCACCATCATCTGGCTGGAGTGCAAAGGATCATAAGTAGCTATCTCATTGTTTCGTAAATGATATCTTTTTCCTATCTATATTATGAAGTATGTGCTATCTTCAATGATGCCTAATTCCATTTATCCAAATGCTTCCTGAAGACGTGGGAAACAATCACTACCAATCCAATTTCTACCATGCTCACCATCTGTGATCTTCAAATTACAGCTTCAAGCCCAAAAATATCTAATGAAACTATGCAGCTCTTTGAATTCTGGAATTTTACTGATTGGTTCGTGTTGTTCTTCCCATGTTCTTCATCCAAAAAAATTTCAGGTCCCAAGATTGATCCACTAAAATGAAAAATGGGAGGCCAGGGTCGTTTATGCACATGGCAACATGTTAGGGATCGTTCAACTAATTTGGGAGGCCCAAACAAATGTTGGGCTCACAAATATAAATGAACCGTTGATTATGGCCTTTTAAAAATAAAACTGGGCTTATTGTGTATGTTCTTTATAAAAACATATATTAATTAAAAGTAATCAAATTTCAGATTTGATTCTGATATAGAATCTGCTACCAAAATCCAAAAGTTTTGGGTCTTCTAATCTACTATTTAAACACGTAATGAAGCATAACCATGGCAATCAGGTGAGAATAGCAAGTGCTGGATAAATTCAAGATTGCTAATGTTTGATCAATTTGTAGGCAAAATTAATAAACCGAGTAATACCAATATGTTTTTAAATTAGCACATAATTACATAAATTTGTCACAAATCCCGGCGCGTAGCGCGGACAATGAATACTAGTAACTACTAAATCCTAAAACATTATCAAAGTTTCTAAGGGGTCGTTTGAAAGTTGCGAATGTTAAATCGTTGCATTGTAATGAATCACCATAATATAAATGCATGTATTGATACAATTGATGCATTTTAACAATACATTGTTTGGCTGTTGAGATTCTACTTTATGCATTGATTTACATAAAGTTACTTTTATGGGGAAATGTCACATTTACCCTCAACTTTTAGAATAAACTATAAGACAAAAACTATTGGGGATATAAATGGAAATTTTTTTTGACACAAGTCTAAAACCAACAATCACAACAAACTCAACTTTTAGTTGAGATTGTATAATGCATCATTTTTTTGTGATTGTTGGTGGGACCTACCTAAAACAATTTAACACTTTGACACTTCCAAACATTCTATTGTGCACAATACATGTATTCAACAAACGCAACTCTAACAATCACAACTTCCAAACGACCCCTAAATGTATGCATCAATGGATCTAAACCGGACTGTCATCCCTGGCAGAGACGGCAGTCCCTGCTTCCTCCTTGACATCATCACTAGCCGTCCCCGCCGGCTCCTCTGTTTCATTCTCTCCGGACAGCTCCTCCAGCGACTTGTCGTTGGACTCCGGCACCAACAACGTGAACCCAATCCCTAGTGCATTGATAACCGCCATCACAAACAGCGAGTTCTACATCCCAATCCCCGGGTTGTACCCTTTGTCCACCTTCGTCGGATCCTTCGACTGCGACGCGTACAAGAACCCGAACGCCCCTACGATCGCCCCTTCCTTCCCCGCCGCCACCGATATCCCGTGACACGTCGACCGTAGCCTCGCCGGGAATATCTCCGCCAGGACCACAAACGTCGTCGCATTGGGCCCAAAATTCACAAAGAAGAAAGTGAGCCCGTAGAAGACCAGAAACCCAACGTAGTGCTGAAGCCAGTAGTTCTACCATGAACGCGTTAGCCTAGGTACTCTTTTTTGAGTAATCATCGTGGCTACCCTAAATCTAGCCATTGAGATTAAGTGAATTGAATATGATGGCCCATTTTGCTGGAGGGCTTCTTCGGTAAAGACCCACAGGATCCGCTCCCTAACCGACGACGTCATTAGGAACTAAATCAATGGGCTCTTTTCAGCACCTCTCCCAAGAACAATTAAGGAAGATCGGCGCCATTCCTATTCCCGTCGCCGCAGTCCCTCTCCCGTCTCCGCAGTCCCTCTCTGACGTCGAAAGTTCTCTTCTGTCGCCGCAATCCCTCTCCCGTCGCCGCAATCCCCCTCCGGTGCCAAGTTCTCTCCCCGGCGCAACGGGAGACATTTCTGCAACTGGTTGTTTCGTTGTTGTGGGATCGGCGAGAGTTCTTCAAATCGTGTTGTAATCGTGTTGTAATAGCACCCTTTATTGTATAGACATTGCATGTTCTTCAAATCGTATTAATCTGAGTTTGGTTTTCTGTGGAATGGTATTCTTGTCGTTTTTGTATCTGTGCAATTGTGATAGTTTGTTTGGCATGGTTTGGTATATGGTCGTTTGGTATTGAATACTATTAGGTTGTTTGCAAAGGTAGTGGTCAAATTTGGTAGTGATCTAGGTTCTAGGTTGTTTGGAATGGTAGGTTCTTCCCATGCATTGGTAGTAATCTGCAGACCTGTGAAGTTTGGTATGGAATTGAAGTTTTTAGTTGGAATGGTAGATTTCATGTTGTTTGGAATGGTAGCTTCTTTTCATGAATTGGTAGTGATCTGCAGAATTGTGATGTTTGGTGTGGAATGGTAGTATTTAGTTGGAATGGTAGGGTTTTTTCTCGCATTGGTAGTGACCTGCATACCTGTGATGTTTGGTGTGGAATGATAGTGTTCAGTTCCAGTAGTTGTAGTGGTTACTTTTCCAATTTCCATACATCACTAACATTGGTTAATGTTGCTACCTTCCAATTTTTTGTTTTTGTAATGGCAAGAACCAAGAACCCAAATCGTGGGGCTTCAAAGAGCAAAAAACAATGAATAACTACCATAGCAGTAGGTCATTTTACCACAAAAAAAACACTACCGTTACAGTATTTGATAACTATAGTGCGGTAACTACCATTGCAATTACTAATCACTAGCATAGCAACTGATAGGAAACCACGCCACCATCATGCACCCATGTAATACAAATACTAATAGAACCACTACCAATGTGAAACGACAAAGTACGCCACAATACCAATCCAATATAGGAAATACTAATACCAATGTTGATCGAACTACCAATAATGTTCCAACAAATACCAATACAGAAGCTTCCAATCCCACCTCCTTCGGAATTGTCCACTCCGACGCCGACATCACCGGTCGGATCTCGGTCGATATCTGACCCCGTCCAAGAGGTTGCCAACAAAAACGGTGTAAAGATTTTGCCGTTCAACGAAAGCATACAATTAGGAATGAGTTAGAATAGGGGTCAGATGCTTACCGTCGTCCCTTTCCATTGTCGTTTCCATCTCCTCTCTATCCGACGTCGGACTTTCTCCGAACAACACCTCCATTGCTATCCTTCTCTCCTCTTCCACATCCTACAATGGTGCACCGACGACGAACGCCATTTCCCCCTAGGGTCGCGTGCCCACTGCGGAATTCTTTTCCTGTCGTAATTTTTGGTATAACAAACCCCTATTGTGATTAAACTCCATATATTTAGTTTCCGTAATCATCTCCCCTCTCTCCATAATTAATTGCATTATTAAAATGGTAGTTGATAATAAGAAGGATGCAAAATACCCCTATTATCCCTAATAACCACTGTCGATACTAAAACTTGGTATCCACCATAACCCCTTCCGTTGTACCAAATTGCCAGCACACACATTGACACCGTCATGCCGCAGAATCCCAGCAATTAAATCTTCTTCCTCCCTATCTTGTCGATCAGCGCCACCGTCACCCAGTACCCAGGTACCGTCCCGCAAAGCGCGATGATCGTCTGTGCACGCGCCCCCTTGAAGACCTCGTGAATCGCGTTCATTGTCGCCGCTGGCGGGATCCAGTGGATCCCCGTGAAGATGTCCTTCTGGAACAGATTCTGGCTGTAGTAGGCTATGTCAAGGAGGAACCACGTGGACGTCGTCGCCAATAAGTGAAGCCCATGGCGCTTGAGGAATTCGGGGGTAAACAGCCCGAATTTGTCACCGGAAACCTCGGCGATGACTCTGACTTTCTCGACCTTGACCTCCTCCAGCTGCTTGAATTCGGCCAGCACTTTGGACATGTCCTCCCTCACCTGCTTCTCGTTGTTGGCCACCAGCGTCGTGTATCGAGCGGTTTCGGGCATCTTCATCCGCCAGTAGTAAGTCACCGCCGCCGGGATGGCTCCGAACATGAGGATTATCCGCTAGACATAGTCAGCCTGCGGGGGGAGCGACGCGGCTATGTTGGCGGGGTACGGTGGCACGTTGAGCGTGTGATCAAAAGCGCTGGAGATGATCAGGGCGACGATTCTTCCGCACATGATGCCGAATCCTTGCATCGTGAATACCGCGGCGATGAATGTGCCGCACGTCTTCTTTTTTGCGTACTCGGACATGATGGTGGTGGAGAGAGGGTAGTCGCCACCGATGCCGAACCCTAGCCAGAAGCAGAAGAAACAGAGTATGGCAATGACTCCCGCGGGGTTGCGACCAAAAGAGAGGCCCGATGCGATGGAGAAGAAGACCATGATGGCGAGGGTCATGCCGTAGAACTTCTTGCGGCCGAGCTTGTCGCCGAGCCATCCGAAGAAGAGCTGGCCAACGAGGGTGCTGTAGAGGGCGACCCCGTTGACGGCGGTGGAGACGTTGGGCGGGAGGGAACCCGGTTTGGGGGAATTGGGGTCGGTGTAGTAGATACGGCCGAGGAGTTTCGTGACGAGGGAGATGCAGAAGAGGTCATAGGCGTCGTTGAAGAATCCCATGCCAGCGATAACGACGGCGGTGAAGTGGTACCATTGGGTTTTGACGGCGTCAAGTATCGCGAGCACTCCGGGCGAAGGTTTTTTCTCCATTGTTGGAAAGTTGATCTCAAGGATTACTCACCTTCTCGCTAGCTTGTGGAGATGATAGTGAATTGTTGGGTAGTGAAGAAGAAGGAAAGGAGGGGAGGGTCTATATTTATACAAAGGACTGAGTTTGATCATATCCGAGAAGGGTTAGGAATGTATTGCTCTTAATCTTAGTTTCCTCTTATGAATCCTTCCGTTTCTTTTCCGTCTTCGGAATGGTGGCGTGGCGGTCTAAGGTGAGTCTCCGGATATTTTTTTAATCAAGAGTAAAAGGGGAAAAGAGGTCAATGAGATTTGAATAAACTCTCCAAAGTGCAAACTCTTCTTCGATTTATTGGGTAAATGCTACATTTGGTCACTGAAATTATTAAATTGTGTCATGTTTAGTCACTAGAAAAATTTAATATTAATTTTGGTCACTCGAATTACTGAAACTGGTCATATTTAGTCACTCTCCCGTTAGTTTCTGTCCAACTTCATAATGGAGTTGGACGGAAACTAACAGGAGAGTGACTAAATATAACCAGTTTCAGTAATTCGAGTGACTAAATGTGACATGTTTCAATAATTCGAGTGACCGGTGTTGAAGAGAGGCTACAAGAGAGTGCAAACTCTTCTTCGATTTATTATAGGTTTAGAAATGAGGATTTCAAGGTCACTCTCCTCTCTCTCTCCTCAGCTCTTAGTTATGTCTAGGAGCTTGAATGGTTCAATCTGATGCATGATTGATAAATTCGGAGAATCTTTGTGCTTGTTTGGTTCAACACTAGGACTAATTAACCTATGATTGTGGTATTTCTATTTGGGTTAATACCCTAGTTTGGCCCGAAGTTTAGCGTAAGTGACAATTCTAGCCCCATCTTTCAAATAAGACATTTATGGCCTACTTTTGAAACTATTGGACAGATTTGGCCCGAAAGTTGTGTTGATTGTTAATATTAAAGGTCAAACATTTATTCCGTCAATGACTCATCACTGTGTCAATCACGATGTCAGCCTGAAGGTTCTTTCCCACCTCGAACTTGTGGTACTCAGCCAGATCCCGATTGAGGCACTCCGCCTCATAGCGCTCTTGGCACGTTTTCTCTACGGTCGCCTTTATTTTCTCCCACTCTGCCTCCAGGTCGGCAGATAACTTGGCATCCCAAGCCTCGGCCTCTTTCTGCGCCTCATCCCGAGCGTTGGCTAGAGACTCATGCACCTCGTGGCCGGCGGGCAAGTCGTCACGCAGGCGCTCAGCAGTGGTGGCGGACGCGACGCTTTCTTTGACCATTTGATCAAATTCATGTGCGGTGGACTTGATCAGCATCATCATCTGTCATATACACCACATAACAAGGGGTAAGCCAGACTCGCGAACAATCGAGAAAAACAATCAACTGAAGTACAAGAGATAGGGCGCCTTACTTGCATTAAGAGATTGGCCATAGAGCGTAGAGGCCGGTTGGTGTTGAGATGTTCGGGGCGCTCGATCACAGCAACATGGGATAACACCATCTGCATCAAAGCGCCCGGATCCTTTGCTGCCTTAACAGGCACGCCAACGGAGACCTTCTCTAGTGGCCAAGCAGGAGGTTGGAAGTAGGGGGCAGCGTTTTCCCGCTGTGCTCCCCCACGATTGGCATGACGAGGCTGGTCGGCACGCCTGAAGCCACCAAGTTATCCAACTTGGCTTTCTTAGCGGCAGAAAGGAGCGGCTCATCGGGCCTCTTCCCGTGCGCCTTGGTTTGGGAGGGCTCGTTCGGTGTCTGAGACGTGGCGCCCTGATGGGGAGGTTCCCTGGTCAGCATCGGGGCGTATGGGAGAATGGACTTGGGGTTGTTCGGAGGCGGCAGGTGAAGGTGCATGCTCGGAAGGCGCACGGCTCGGCGGCACAGGTGGCGAGGAGACAATTCTCACCCGCGTGGGCGCCTTGCGCGGAGGTTAGGACTTGGCCTTGGTGGTCTTGGCTCGGACGCGAGGCGCAGGAGGGATCAAGTTGAGCTTCGACCAAATAAGATCGGAGACAGAAGTGAACTCGGTCCCTGCAAGAAAAAAAGACGAAGTCAGTAACAAGGCACACAAGGCGTATGAGCGAATGTAAAGCGTATGACAAGTCAGGCACATGCAACTACCATCATTGTAAAACTCCGCCAAAAGACGGGCGTACTCCTCGCTTATTTCAAGATTAATCGGCGCCGAAGAAAGGCGCCACGCCATATCTTCCTCAGCCTTATTGAGGGCGGGGTGCTTATTAAACTCGATTTCATGAGCACCCCATCTTTTTCTAGTGGCTGATGAAGTTGTACCCCAATTTGGGGCGCCTTTGAAGACTGAAGTAGTTGGAGCTTCGGATCATCACAAAGAAATGTTGAAAAAATTTGAAAGAGGGAAGAATGTTATGTTGGCGACACTTGAGGCGGAAGAGAACAGTGTAAAGAATAATGACAGGGGAAAGGTGCCCGAGGGAACATTGGCATAGATGGAGTACGCCTTCGAGGATTGGGTCGATGGGGAAACAGAGCCCAAAGCGGGCGTACTCTTGGTAAATGCCAATCCAACCCTCTCCACACGCCTCGACGGGCGTGACAGGTGATGGATGCGCATTTTGCCAGTCAGCTGGCATCTGCGCGGCCCGAATTAATTTTGTGAAGCGTGAGTAGAGAATCTTGGACGTGTGCGGAGGACCGGCATTTTCCTCTGACATTCGGTCAATATCGGTGGGCATGTACCCAGGCGGCCACATGTTGCCCCATTGCCATATCACGTACTCTCGAGGCGCACCGGTGCCTAAGTCAGAATAAGAGGACAAGATCAAGAAAGGGCTAGTGCAAAGGGGGAATGCTTTTGAGAAGGGCGCTCAAGCAAGAGGTGTGGGCGGTCAGAAAAGGTAGAATTTAGGAGTGGCTTTTCTCTCAACCCTCGTGACACGTGACTTGCATACATAAGGCGCATGAGATCAAGACTTTTTGCATAACGAGAAGCAGAGAATGGGGGAGTACCTAAGGCGACGGCAGGGACATCGGAAGGCGCAGGGTTGGAAGCTCCGGGCTGATTGGAGGATGACATTTTTTAGGTGTATAGGCAGTAGGAGGAGAAAACACACAAAAGCGGAAGGCGCCTGGTCACAGCTAGCGAGAGGCTTGTGAGCAGGGCAACTTAGAGAGAGAAAGTAGAGAGATAGTGGTTTTTGACAAAATGAAGAGAGGGGAAGTAGTGGGGGCAATATATAGGCGAGGAAAGAGGGGGAGAGAGAGCGGAAGCGGGAAGGTGAACGGTCGCCTAGTCTGAAGGAAATTCAAATTTTGAAATTCGAATTATCCTTCAGTTTAGGGGGAGGGGAGAATGGTCCCGATGATGGAGGCGGAAGCCCAACGGTCTGTCTGCAATAAAGAAAAGAGAAATAATTAAAAACAAGAGAGAAAAAAGGGAAAGGAAAGTAAATAATAGGGGAAAAGAAACGAGAGGAAGATAAACACAAAGGGGAAGGCGTGGCGCTTGATCAGCAGAAGGGAAAGGAGTCGAAGCGCGGGTGGAGGAAATCAGGGGGCAGGCGCACGCTGCGGGAATGGATTGTTAGCGAGGCGCATGCTTCCGAAGGAAAGAATGGAAAGAAGGCGTGCATAATGGACCGCGGAGGCGCTTAGTGGGACACTTAGGGAAGTTAGGCCCCTATTGGGTGGTAGGCGCCTAATTGGGGGGCATATAAGGGCCTAAAAAGGAAGCCCAGAAGGCCGGATTGGGCCTGGAATGCGGGCCTAGCGAAGGGAAAGCCCAACCCAAAAGGGGCCTTAGGCTATAACCTAGGCGATGGTGTCGGGCCTGACGTAGGGCGCATGGCGACAAAAGTGGCAACGGTCAGAAGCACACGAAGGGGACAGGAAATGGGGCCATGCGCCTTGGGGCCCTGGGCAAAGTGTCAGAGTGTCGGGGCGCCTGGCAAGGGTGAGATACATTGAATTTAGTGGTGTGATGACGTGGGACGGATTTGGGGAGCAGTGGTCGACCCCTATCCTGGGTATAAATAGTGAAGTTGGTGAAGCTCATTTACTCATGTTAGAACTTCTCTCTAAATCTACACTCCACTTCTCTCTCTAAAATGACCGTCCTAACTTGAGCGTCGGAGTGCTAACGAGCCCTAAAGTAGGGCTCGGTGGGCGCCTTTGTGTGCAGGAGCAGGGCGTGCAACCGAAGTGAAGAGGGTGAAAAGGGGGCGCGTTGTCTTCTGATGCACAGGGTTACTCGACACAAACATGTATAAACTAGTCAAACTCTATCATTTACTTTGTATTTGTTTTTCATACCCAATCCCAATTATGATAGGATTAAGAAATACCCATGAGCTTGGCAAAATAGTCATCCTTAACTCCTTCGTCCTAGCTTCCAATATTATTACAAGGATGCACATATTATGTGCAACCGAGACGCATGTAAGTTCGTCTTAAGGATGACATTTTCGACATGACCCGTTTTACCCTATTTGTTTGACTGATAAATTATGGTGTGGGGGCATGAGTATTCTTTTTGACAATGCATGTCCTAACCCAACCCATTTTTTCCTAAATAACGTGTAATTATACTCAAAGAGTCCAAATACGTATGATTTTACGTTCATTATCTCATAGCTATAATAAAATTGTAAATAGGTGAGATCCTCAAATTCACGAATAATTTAATTACATGTAACATATTATAGTTTGTTTCTTGTTTTTTTATGAAAAAATAAATATTTATAATATTTTCCTTTAAATTACATACACATATGGGTCAACCTACTACAACCCATATCCCGCATGATAGATTAACTGACCTAAACTTGACCTACCACACGACGAATATGGAATCGAGATACGTGCTTTGCCGATCACCATTCCTACTTGGCCTAACATATTAGTGGGCTACAAACATCGACAACATAAAAGCAATGGAATCAATCAAACTCAACTCAATGGTTTGTTTGTAGTTGTATATACATAATACATGCTCACAGCTAGCTCACTGGTCCAAGAAAGAAGTGTTGGTTTGAAGATATATAGAATCCAATTCCTAAAGCAGCCCACCCCACCCCACCCCACCTTTACTTCCTATATCACATACCCAAAATCCACCGTTCAGTTTCCTCCTTTGAACAATCAATCGGCGTAAGGAAAGAGAACCAAAACACTGGCTTCCATATCAGCACCGCCGATCCCTCTACTAACCCTTCTCCTCATAATCTTCTTCCTCCTCTACCTCTCCTCTTACTCCAACTACAGGCACCACATGAACCAGACGTTCATCAGCTTCAAGCTCGTCCTTCTGTTCGTTCCCGTGGCTATGATCTTCGCTGCTCAGCTTCTCCCCAAGTTCGAGAGGTTTGTTTTCCCACGCACCAAGGCGGAGTACTACGGCAGCTCGTCGGCGGCGGTGAAGAGGCGGCAGGTTGACCTGCCGTGGGGGATGGTGGCGGTGGTGGTGTTCCTTCTGCTCATGGTTTCTTTCCAGTCGTCTCTTCAGTCCATGTGGTCGCCGGTTGTGCGACGGTCCAGTTGAGTTGAGAGAGATTGGGATGACGTTGTACTGGTGGGTTTCTTTTTCTGTTGTTGTTGTACGGTTTTGGCGGCGCTGGGAATTTGTGACTGTTTACTATGAATAAAACAGTTGCAAAATCTCCCCTATGCTTATGAGTTTTGAAAATAAAATGAAGTGTGGTTTATGGAAATCTGCTGCGCATCTAATAGCTAATGACTAAGTTGTGCCAATTCGGACAACTTTTTTTTTTCTTTTTTGGCAAAAGGTATCCATATATTGAATCAACAAGAGATAATTACATCCTGGTAAACAGCCAGGCCCGAAAATCAAACACACAACTCATAGCCGGAGACAAAGAAAGGGCCTTTCTAGCCACCCTATGGGCTACCCTATTGTTCTTCCGACCTATAAACCGCACACCTAACCCTGGATGAGACCGAAAATAGTATATAACTTCTTCGAGAATAGCGCCCACCCGGTTATCACTAGCTTGCCGCGAAGTAATCTTGTCAATAATCACCTTGGCATCTCCTTCAAACCTCACCTCCGTGAATCCGAGCCCCAAACACCAGCCAATCGCCTCCCGAAGGGTTAACAATTCAATGACCATAGGATCACCAAGGCCAGGAAACTGAATTCCTCTGGCTAGAATTATATCCTGGGTTGAAGTCATTAGAACCATACCCCCAGCCGAGGGAGCTCCCTGTCTGGTAGCCCCATCCCAACGGCAGACGATACTGGCCTCACTAGTTGGGGCCGCAGGGAGAGCCGACGGGATACGCGAAGGAAGAACTCGATCCCTAGGGATGCTCAACCATTCCTCACATTGTTGGTGAAATTGCCGCATTAACGCCGGGATCCCAAACTGCTTGCCCTCAAAGATAACCCAATTCCGGGACCGCCAAATCCGCCAGAGGACCGCCACCAACGCCATAAACAACTCCGGCTGATGGATGAGATTCATAACCTTTTTAAGAAACAGGGGAAAAGTATGGCAAGGTAATCCCTGTCCTAAAAACTCCAACCCCGAGAGGTCCCAGAGTGCCCGAGCCACCGGGCAAAAGAGAAAAAGGTGCTCCAACGTCTCAGTTTCCGCCCAACAAACCGGGCATCTGAGGTGCACCTGTACCTCTCTCTCAATCAGGGCCTCCATAGTTGGGAGGATTCGGTTCAAGAGCTGCCACAGGAACACCTTCAGCTTTGGCGGGATAGGAGCCTCCCAAACACGGATCCAACTAGCCTTATCCATCCAACTCACCAACGATCGCCATCCACCTCTCTGTTTATCCACTAGGACCGCTAGATGGTAAGTTGATTTAACAGAGAATTGACCATCAGCCGTGTCATGCCAGATCAGCCGGTCTGGCCTGGGCTGCCTAGGAAGGGGAATTGCCCTAATAGCCTGACAGGTAGGGGGGTCAAACCATTGTTCCAGCTTGGCATCACACCACCGCCCCTCACCTGGGCACAACACCTCAGCAACATACAGGTCCCTGTCTTCGGGAATAATCCGAGGATTACTAACCGGGGCAGAGGGATGCAGGCGAGGAATCCAGCTGGAATGCAGCAATGAAGCGGTCTGACCATCCCGAATCTGCCAGCGGAGACCCTTCTCCAACAACTCCCTTCCAAACAGGATACTTTGCCAGCCCCAAGAAGGACATGACCGGGCCGTGGCCGTAAGGAACGTACCCTGAGGAAAATACTTACCCCTATACACTTGGGCTAAGAGGGACTCAGGTTCATTCAGGATACGCCAGCCAATCTTAGCCAGAAGTGCATGATTAAAATGTTCGAAGCGACGGAAGCCCATACCACCATCATGTTTACTGCGGCATATATTACGCCAGGACATCCAACGAATTTTGGAACGGTCACCCTCCACGCCCCACCAGAACCGAGCTAAATGTTTATCCAGAAGGCGACAGAGGGCCAAGGGGAGCTTAAAACATGACATGACATGCCGTGGTAAGGCTAAAGCAACCGACTTGATCAAGGTTTCCTTCGCTGCCCAAGAAAGGGTCCTTTGCTTCTAGCCCTGAAGTCTCGCCAACAGTTTCTCCTCCAGATACCTAAAGGTAGCCATCTTAGAACGGGCTATCAGCGTTGGCAGGCCAAGGTATTTGTCGTGGACTCCCACCGCACCCACCCCCAGGATCTGGGCCAGGAATTCTTGGTCTGGAATGGCGATATTCTTACTAAAGCACACTGCTGATTTGCCTAGGTTAATTTTCTGCCCACTTAGTTCTTCGTACTCATTTAACACATCAAGCAGGTTTTCACACTCCTGGAGAGAGCCACGAAGGAACAGATAGGAATCATCAGCGAAGAAAAGGTGGGAAATTCTCGGAGCACGAGGAGCAACCTTCACCCCCTCCAATTTGTGTTCCGCAATAGCCTTCCGCAGGAGAGCGGCAAACCCCTCAGTGCAGAGTACGAAAAGCAAGGGTGAAAGGGGATCCCCTTGTCTAAGACCCCTGGTGGGCGAGAAATACCCCGAAGGCGTGCCATTCATTAGAACCGAAAAAGAAGTGGATGTCAGGCATTCTCTGATCCAGCCCCTCCATGTAGAATTAAAGCCCATTCTCTCAAGAACCGCAAGAAGAAAGGGCCATTCGACTCTATCATAGGCCTTTTCCATATCAACCTTTAGAGCCATGTAACCTTTCTTGCCTTGCTTCTTGATCTTGAGGTAATGCATTAACTCATGCCCAAGGAGAACATTATCCACTATCTGGCGCTCTTTAATGAACGCATTTTGCCCCTCCGAAACAATATTCGGTAAGAGTTCAGCCAGACGCTCCGCCATGATTTTGGTAATGACTTTATAAATGAATTGGCAAAGACTGATAGGACGAAGTTGGCGCATGCTTTCCACCGCATCCACCTTAGGGATCAAAGTCAGCCACGTGTGATTGAAGCTCCGCAGTAATTTGCTCGTCGAAAAGAAAGAGCAGACCGCGTTAATCACTGACTCGCCAACAATGTCCCAGAAGGCCTTAAAGAATTTGCCAGTGAAACCATCCGATCCAGGTGCTTTTTTCGAACCCATAGCAAACACAGTTCTTCGAACATCACAAGGCTGGACTGTAGCTGTAAGAGCAGCATTCATCTCATGAGAGACACTGCGAGCTATCGGGAGGTTAACCACCCTGTCAGTCATATTCCCTACCTGATTCTCCGAAGTGAACAAGTGTTGGTAGAAAGAATTGGCCAAGCTAGCCTTCCCAGCCTCATCGGTGATCCAATCCCCAGAGTCATTAAGCAGTCCAGCAACAAAATTCTTCTTTCTTCTAGTCCTTGTGACCGTATGGAAGTAAGAAGTATTTTGGTCCCCTTTTTTCAGCCAATTGACCCGAGATTTCTGTTGCTAGTAGATTTCTTCCGCCTCCCATTGCCTATTTAACTCCGTTTCCAGAGGTCGGACCGCCTCCCAGTCGATCGGATGGATAAGTTTGATTCGATCAATTTCCGCCTGGAGGGTTCTAATATTGCGCAGAGAGTTGGTGGTACCCGCCCTACTCCAGTCATAGAGCAAGTGGCGAAGTTTCTTCAGCCGCTCCCATAATTGGAACATAGGCATGCCTGGATCTCCTCCTTCCAAACATAGACCACCATAGCCCGTACCTCAGGATTATCAGCCCATCGGGCATCAAATCTAAAAAGCGGGCGACAATGGCGTCGATACGGTTGGTCAGAGAGGAGAATGGCACGGTGGTCCGATCCCTGGTCAGTGAAGTGTTTTACCAGAGTTTCCGGAAACTGGGTGATCGACATTTGGGAACAAAGCGCCCGATCCAACCTCTCGCGAATACAGGCATCTCCCATACGTCTGCTCGTCCAGGTGAATTGGTCCCCCTGGAAACCAGGATCATGAAGGCCCAAGTCCAGGATAAAATCTCGCAAACTAATGGACTGAACAGCATTCCAAGCATTCCCACCATCTTTCTCACTTTCGTGGAGAGTAGTATTAAAATCACCAATGACAACATAGGGGAGCTGGATAGAGTTACAGATCTCTCGTAATTGGGATAATTGCTCAGTGCGAGTGGCGATATTACAACTTATGTAAACAGAGACCACAACATAAGAAAGATCATTTTCATTAATCTGCGTGCAAATACAAAAATTTGAATGAAAGAACACCGAGGCATCAACCCCAGGGGACCAAGCTACTACTAACCCTCCAGATGCATCAACAGCATCAACAAAGAAACAATGAGACTGATGGAAACCTAATCCCCGCATACGCCGGGTAACTACTCGCCGGTTCAATCGTGTCTCCGCGAAGAACACAAGATCCGGTTTATTAGAATGCACTAAACCTACAGCAGTTTGGAATGTGAGGGATGGTCCAACTCCTCTCACATTCCAGGCGAGTATCCTCATTTATCCGATTGGGGCCATTTGAGGCTGGCTTCCTCCACCTTTTCCATATCATCTCTATCCTCCACGAATTGTTTTTTGGGGGTTGGATTATCCACAAACTCCCCATCAATCTCGTCAAAATGACGTTTTTTCATCCCAGCTCCCAGTTCAGGGAGATTGGTTCCATATTCGTCCAGCGGGGTATCATCAGTCGCATTAATAATCTCCGCATTTGGCCGGGCTTGGGGCTGACCCAAATCCACAATCTCCTCCTTATCCTCCATAGCCAATCCACGTTCAAAAGCCCGCACCACTTTACTGACCCTAGACGATTTAACCAGCCTTTTTAGAACCCCTGATCCCGAAGGAACTCGGCGCCTAAACTCAAAATTCTGGGCTTCGTCTTCCGAGAAGGTAGCCTCTGAATCCAGAGGGTCTGTAGTGGGCTCGGGCGAAATAGGGCCGGCCCTTGGAGATGGCGGCAGGCCCCCTTTTGCACCCATGGTCTCCCAATTTACAAGCACCGGCTGTTCATCCTGGGCTTCCCCAATGGACCCGGCTTTGGGCTTAAGCGAACAGGCTTAGAAGCCATGGGCCGATGGGCGGATGGGCCGGCCCAAACTTTCCTTTAGGGGATGGACAATCAGGCCCCCTTGATTCCTTGCCTTTTCGTCTGGTCAAGGGTTGCATTTTGTGACCTGCCTGAGGATTATAAGGATCAGCCGGAAGCAGCGGCGGCCGAGGGCCCTCCTGCCCAATAGAAGAGATGGGCTGGACAGCAAAATCGTCTTCCGACTCTTCTTCTAGGATGAGGCGCCGGCGGCGAGTCCCCTCCAGAGCTCCTGCCCGCGATGGAGTGCCCACCGGAGGAATCGGCCCGTGTGCTGCGGAATGCCTCTCCCGCTGCCTCCTAGTAACCGCAGGACCCGCCTGTTTTTCAGCCCGCAAGGATTTCACATTTTTGCCATGGCGACGCGGGAGCGGGGCAGAATCCTGGCGTTCCTCAGTGCACTCATCAATCTCCATTGGACTGCCCCCTTGAGCAACCTGACCCCTACCCCGCCGATTTGGTCTTCCAAAGGGGATTTTGGCAGCTTTCGGGATCGGGAATTGGCGAGGGCTTCTCCCCTGCTTGGCTCGCATCGCAACAGGCTCTGTTTTGGCGAACGGGTTCTCCGAAGACCCCATCCACAATGGACTCTTGTCCACAACCAGCTTCTTGGCAGTGGGAGGAGCTCGTCGCACCAAGGTTCCTGTGCGAGCCTCCGGTCGTGCTTCCCTTTCCGGCATTTGTCTGGCATTCGAGTTGATCCATACCGAGTTAGGGTGACCAGAAAAGCATTGGTTGTGGTCATCCTCATCAAAAATCTTTCTTCCCATTTTTTTGGTAGTCATGTGGGGACCAAGCCTCTCCTTCCTTGATGGCGGGTCGAACACACAACTCTGGCGAAAGTGGCCGACACGACCGCAGTTGTAGCAGAAACTATGGAGGTGTTCATACTTGAACCGGATCCAGAAAGACCCTGTCTCCTCATTAGACGCCCAGATTTGGGATCTTAGTGGCTTGGAGAAATCAATGAGGGTTTTAACCTTGATGAACGTACTGGTTGTATCTGTGCAAGAGAAGATGCCAGATTCGAGAACTCTGCCAAGAGTGGAAGTCGCCACTTTTCGTCCAAACAGTTGGGTGCAGCACTCTTCTTGCACATCCCACATCTGGACCCGGAATGGGGCAGTAGCCATCTCCTCAAAGGTTCGAGCCGTAATGTTCGGTGTCCAGGAACGCAAGTGAAGGATTTTATCCATAATCACCCAGGGAGTGGGTTGGAGAACCCAGTTTTTGGCAGCTTCGGTTGGGAGAACAAACTCGAGCAGTCCATGTGCCACCTCCCTGACTTTGATCGTCCTTGGCCTTGCCATGGATTATTGATCGCAGCACGTAGTTCATTGATTGCCAGCGAATCTACAGAGAAAACTCGGCCGAGCAGCATTCTCAATTTGCGCACCCTGTCGGACTGTATCTCTGTTAGCGAAAACTCCACCACCTGATCGCTGGTAACGTGAGCCATGTTGGCCGACTGCAGCACAGAAGAGAAGTTCACATTATATAAATTAAACATGGCCGAAGCTTCGCCAACAGGATTCCAGGGGAAGCTCGAGAAATTGAAAAGAAAGTTACTGGTAGGAAAAGCATCTACCCAAACACTAAGAAATATATCCGTAACCAAGAACGTCCACATACCAGAAAAGGGCTCTTGCGTGGGCTTGGAAACGTATTTGCCAGGCACCTGATTTACCTCTCGTAATTGAAGAGGGATAGAACTTGCTGGCCGCGTTAAATAGGCAGGCCATTTTTTAGAACCCCACTGTGGTGGGAATTCTATCTGGAGAGGGGGACTATTTTGTTTCAAAATAGAACAACAGTTAGTGGATTTCCCCAACCGTATAGAGATACGGCGGATCCCAAAATCCCCTCGGCCGTTAGACATCCCCGAGGAAAGAGCGAACCCCCTGAAATTACGCTTGCTAGGAGACTTTCCTAGCAGTGTACGTTTCGGGCGAAGTCTCGGCCGGAAGGCCACTGGGGTCAACGGTTCCGGCGCTGGTCCACGACGGATCCAGTTTTCCGGTGTCAGGGTACCACCACCAAGCAAATTTGAACTCGTCCCATTCCAGGATCTAAATTCAGAGCTCGCAGCTATGGGCTTCCAATCTTATTGCCTGACTCCTTGTAGGTTCTTTTTGCTCTGTGAGGTGTTTCGAAATACTTAGATCGTCTTGTGATTCCTTGGTTGCCTCCTCCGGCGACGGTAGATAAAACCGCCACAGCACCAGTTGGGAGCGCCGTGCTCGCTTGGGTTGAGGGGATTCGTGGCTATGGGAAATCGCGAGGGCTTGTCTTTTCTTCCTCTTCCCAGGCCCGACCCGGTTGGTCTCTCCCCCAGAGAAGTGATGATCGGAGTCAACTCGTGGTCGTCGTCCTCCAAGTAGCGTCACCGGAGTATTCATCTGCGCTCCCACCGGTTTCCTGTGTGGAAGAGCCCACCAAAATCCCTGCTACTCATGATTTCCGAGGGCCGATTGGAAGATCGCCACCACAAGAAAGAGAAAAAGGTCGCCGGCTGTTCGACTAAGTTGAAGCAGAGCCCGCAGCCAGAGACCGAGGAGAGAGGCGAGAGCGCCTATCAGGTCTTTTTTTTTTTTCCGTTGTCTGTTATGTTGAGTTTAGACCGGTTGGTTAGAAATTCGGACAACAAGAGCAATTCTCATATTCACAAGATACTTCTGTCACATATTGTAACAGAATCACTAAAATTGGTTAGAAATTTCACTACAATGTACAAGCTACAACCTAACGCTTCACTAAACTCTTTACATGTAATACTACTAACCGGTTGGTTACAGATCCGTAGTCGCTCAACGATGTTTAAGCCAAGCCAACTCTCCCAAAACCCTTCGAAATAGAATTCTCTTCCACGACACTAAGCAGGAGTTGAGGAGTTCTTCAGCTTAGGGACTCTGAAGGAAGAAGTGAACAGATTCGGTGGCGATTCCACGATGATAACAGCATCATCATCATCTCCCTTTCTCTTCGAGCTTCTGCTACCCTGACCAAATGCAAACCAGAAAGGATTTAGCCAAGTTTAATAAAACTAAGTTCATGAAACATATAGAATCATTGGCTCTTTAGCATGTCCCATTTGGCCTCACATTCTCAGCATTTGACTCTTTCTTTACAGTTTTAACAGCCATGCCCTTACAGCTTCTCAACGCAGGAGTAGCGACTTGAGACTTCTTAAGACCTTCCAACTCTTGCGATAACTCGTACACTCGAGCTTCCAGCTTCTCAATGGCCTCATCCTTCTTGGTGTTGGAAGATTGAAGCTGCTCTTTCAGCTCCGCGATGGTCCCATCCTTCTCACCGTTGGAAGATTGGAGCTGCTCGGCCGTGGTGAGAACTTGGGCCAACTTATCATTAGCTTGATCAACTTCGGCTTGCTTCACCTTCAGCTTTTCGGTCAGCTTGCTTTCCAACATGTTGAATTGGTTCCATATAAAGGTTTTCTCCTTCGAGAGCATGGCGATCACAACATTCTTGTCAGAAACAAGCTTCTCGTACTTGAGCTTGAGCCTTTCAGATTCAGGGTCTGCTGCTGCTATCTTAGAGGTGGAAGATCTTGTTCGCCTACGTGATTCAGTGCCTTGATCTGGTTCGTCGGTCTCCTGCACGGAACATCATCCATCCATTTCTAAGATATCAAGCAACGAGACATGCTGAAGAATGTGAGACAATAAACAACCTATTACTCTCTTTCTAAGAGATCAAACAACATCAATTTGTAAGAGATTAAAGAACGAGAAATGATGAAGAGTGAGGCAATAGACAACCTACTACTCACCTTCGAGCTAGCAGTGAGGAGGTCAAACAATGCCCTGAAATCTGCCAATTCATCTTCTGCTTCCTCTGCAACAATAAATGAAATGGAGGTAAGGTTGTTACTTGTTAGTATTGTGCCAAAACTTTAATACAATCTTCCAGAAAGTTCAAACATGCTAGTTTCATTAGCTAAGAAATCACATACTCTAGTGCTTCAATTAAGGGAAAGCTGTACATTTAACCAACTGGACAATTAACAAGCATCAATCTAGCAAACACAAGGTAAGCGTAGAATTTTGACACTTTTTTTTATATCCAAACGAAATCCCCAACAAGAACCTTGAAAAGAAGACACAGGGCTAAGACTGATCTAATTTTCACTTAATCCTCAAACCCTAATTCAAAATTTTGAATTCAATTTCCCCAAACTCTATCGAGTTCCAATCTTGCAAACAATGGAAGAACCATTCCTGCTTTCCAAGCACTTAGTCACATAACCATCAACGAGTAGTAAGCAAAAGAAGCGATAACTAACCTAACTTCAGTTTACGGACCACAGCTTCTCTGTGCTTCAATCCCACCATCAACTCAGTTTTGGCAGCCTCCATTAATAGCTCCATCTCTTTCTCTTCCAGGCGTGACATGAGCTACTCCAAAATAAACATAAACAAGCCCCGATTAGTCAACAAGTCGGATGAGCGGAAACCCTAAAAATTGGAATCGAATTGGGAGAAAACAGAGGAAAGAAAGCCTATTGAACAAACTTCGGAGATATGAGTTTCATAGAGTCGGTGATTGGCAGTCCATGCTCCCTGCTGCTTCTTTATCCATTCTTCAAGAGATTTCCTCTGGCTGAGCAGAGTTTCGATCTGCTCTTGTTGATTCTTTAGCAATTTCACCAGCGGCGCATACAACACTTTCCATTTCGCTACTTCCGATATGGACTCGGGACGCTTGGCACCGCCCATTTGAGAGCTCTAACGATCTGGCTCGCCGACAAGTAGAAGAAAGATTGGAATTTGTTTGGTGTTTTGAGATAATTGCTTGATTGTTCGGTTGCAGAGATTTAACAATTGTGGGGATACGAGACGAAAGAGGATCTCATCGGTCGGAAATAAGGTGAGCTTTTATTTCCCAAAACTTGTGATAAGAAGCGCGGGGTTCCTTTGTTTTCTGGATTTCAAATACCTTTGGGCTGGGCTCTATGTTGATAGAAGGTTGGGCCAAGTCATATATACTAGACCAAAAACATGTTCTAGTCCAGTGCGAATTTAATTTCGTTATTTCTTAATCATACTTATAATAATTCATAGGACCAAATTACGAATTAAAATATATACAATTCAATGTTCAATCGTGGATCATAGATTATTTACTAACATAAATATCAATTCGATACGATACGATATAAACAAGATTGTTGCTCACCCTCGTTGGGCACCATCCCATCCACACATGCAAATCAACATTAAGTTGTCATTTTCTTGAGAGTCTGGTCGATATTCTTTATACTACACGGATCATCAAGGTGTTCCAATCGTAGCTGGTTTACAAAAAGACTTGTGATGGTCAAGCAAATTCGATTTCTCTATTTCATAACACATAGTCAGGTATGTAAAATAGAATTTATATTACGAAAATGAAATATAATAGTACAACTAGTATAAGCTCGTTTGTTACCACTTGGTATGTTAGCTAGAATATAATATTTTAAAGAGTAGTAGTGAAAGTGTAGTTTGTTGTTTGGGATGGCAGTGATTAGTTTAATTGAATGAGGATATAAAATTGTTATGAATATTGCAAATTTTTTATAGAGTGAAACAGATTGTTGAAATACAGGGAAGACAGAATTAACAATGCCAAAAAATGGTATCGGCCGTGGGAAACATTGCAGGAGGACAACTTATGATTCCTCGCATAGTGTTTCGAGATGAGTTGTGAATTGGTGAGCGAATGCGAGAATTGGATAGAGCAGATATTGTATGAATCTTCGGTAACGGTCAAGGCAAACAATGGAGGGGGATAACATAGGATTTCATCGACAATGCTTTGAAATGGATTGCGAATTGGTGGGTAAATCAACAGACAATAGATGAAAACTCTGTGGATAATAGCTATCACGGAGAAACCATTGAACAATAGCTAAAAACCTAGAGGATAATAGCTCCATGTTTCGAGATGAGCTATGACTTGGTGGGCGAATTCTAGGATTGGACATAACAGATCTTGTATGGATCATCGGTAGCGATCATGGCAAACAATGGAGGGGGATAATAAAGGATTCCTCTGACAATGCCTTGAAATGGGTTGTGAATTGGTGGGTGAATCAGCAGGCAATAGATGAAAACTCAGTGGATAATACCTCTCACGGAGAAACCATTAAACAATAGTTGAAACCTAGTGAACAAGAAGTGCGATGAAAAACTCAGAGGACACTAAATATAGATCCAACAAATAATAGTTGACTACTGGGGTTTTGAATGAGAGAGTGGAGTAAAAGAACGTTTTCCAAAATTTTTTGAGTTTAGAGAAGGATGTGTGAGTGAAGGAAGCAAATCATATAAAATTGCTCAAAAGGAATTTGGGGTTCATTAATAAATAGTAACTCAACTGTTCGACTTTGAATTAATTAATATTTAGATGATATAGACAAGATAAATCTCAAAGTTAAATACAAAATTGAATGTGACAAAAGACAATGTAACAGGTCCAAGTTTGGTATTTTGATACTTATATCTGTTCCCCTCTTTAATTTTTGACGGACGATTTCTCACTCATTTTAAAATGAAATTTAATTTTTTTTGTACAGTTAGATTAGATTAATTGTGCTCTTCAAAATGATATCCACTTTAATATATTTTTCGAACAAAAAAAATTGAGCCATTTTTTACCAGTCTATACCATATGGTATTGACTAGTATTGAAATAAAAACATACCTATGGTTTGAAAAAAGTACCATGGTGGTATGAACAAACCAAGACTGTAGGATGGTTGAATACATGATAGTATAAATATATTAATTGTCATTTACGACTTTTAACATTGTATACCACAAGATACCACCCCGTACCAGGGTGGTATCGTATGGTATTGTGTGGTATTTTTTGGTCCTGTAATTTGTTCACCGATAAATTTGTAGATTCAATAGATCATGATGAACTCGTCCCTTCTATGCAAACGTTTTCAAAAACGAATTAAAAACGAAGAAGATACCATACAATACCACCCAGTACCAGGGTGGTAGTGTATGGTATTGTGTGGTATTTTTTGGTCCTGTAATTTGTTCACCCAGAAATTTGTAGATCCAATATATCATGATGAACTCGTCCCTTCTGTGCAAACGTTTTCAAAAACGAATTAAAAATGAAGAAAATACCATATGGTATGCAGTTGGTACCGAGAGGCCAGAATTTTTTGTTCTAAAAAAATATTGAAAATTGATCTCATTTTGTAGAGCACGATGAACTCGTTCCACCTGTGCAAAAAAAATTAAAATCTGAGTTAAAACGAAAAAGATATGAGCCGATTAAGAAAGCTAGATAAAATAAAAATGATCTTTAATTTTCCATCCTTAGATCTGGATTTTCTAAATGAAGGGTCCAGATTTGGTTATTGATGGGTGCATAACCCATGGTTATGCACCCTATCTTGAGCATATTCCATGATAGATTGAATAATTTATTACGTGGCGCAGGTTATGACAGGTCGACTTATATGAGTATGTAATTTAAAAATAAAATATTAAGAATTTTTTTTTTTATTAAAACTCCAAGCAACAAACTATAAACATGACAATTGTAATTAAATTATTCTAGAAATGGAGGTTCTTGCCTATTTTCTTTCTAGCTAAAATATGAGATGATAAAAGTAAAATCATAATAATTTGAGTATAATTACATGTAAAATTAAGTCGGGTTGAGTAGAGTACCGATATTCCACCCCGTCTAAGAGACGTGGATCACCCATCTCAATCGGATCAAAGTATAAAACTCATGTGGTCAAAATTGTCATGGCTAAATTGAATTCAACATATTCGATTTAGGCGGGATTTAAATATAACTTAACATAAAGTATCATCGTTAACTAACCATAATTTACAGGAAATTTATTTTTTATCAATTCATGAGTGACGTAGAAATGGATCAAGTGTTGAACTAATCGCTATGCTATTCGTCCAAAAGTTCAACGAAGCTTTTGTTAAAAACCAAAGCCCAGTAGCCGATTCGTTACCGACGGCAAAGTTCAATGACCAGTTTGAGTAATTGACCCTATGTTTCCCGGCCCAGGCTCTCGAACGCTGGAAAATCATATGTTAATCCGACGGCGGCACTTTTTGGTTCTTTTAGACCTTCTGTGGACAGTGATAAGCCAACTTCATTTTCTCCATCTGCATCGTTCAAAAAGGCCTCGGATTCTGATTAGAATGACCAAACGACAACGTAGTGGGCGGACCTTTCCAGGCTCCTCTCTTCTTCCAGCCTGAATTCCAATTTCACTACTTGGTACTTGGTCCCTCTCCTTGTTTCCAAAATTTCGCCGCTGAAAAAAATAAACAACAAACATCGAGATCCCAATATATAAAAAGAAATGCCTCTCACCAACCAGGCATGAATCTCGACTCACAAAGCTCTCAACTCAACTTTCTTCATCACGGGTTGGCCTTTCTTTTTCCTCCCAACCGAATCTTTCCCATCTTTGATTTCACTCCTTACCCAATTTCCATCTCACGCTAATCTCTAATGGGTTCTTGTCAACAGGTGAAAAAGACTACGTCTTTGCTTACTAGATGTCTCCGGTGGCCGATCCGCCCTCGACCCAGAACGGGAGCTACTCCGCCGCCGCCAGCGTGATCAAATGCGTGGAGGCCGTGACGGCGGCGATGGAATCGTCCAACGCCGACGACGACTCCGATGACATCCTGAAGCTGCTGGACACGACGAGGCCGATCAAGGTCGAGAGGCCGAGGTCGTTCGGCGAGCGGTCGTTCAATGAGCTGTCGGCGGCACTTTCGCCTCGGCACTACAGAAACTACGAGAACTCTTCCAGAGTTGACCACCTCGACCATGTTTATTCTCCTGGGAGATGGTCGGGTTTCAATTCTCCAAGGTCGATGTCGACTCACTTCGAATCGAATCCGATCGTGGCCGAAGCCTGGGAATCGCTACGGCGAACTCTGGTTTACTACCGCGGCGAGCCTGTCGGGACCATCGCTGCTTTGGACCACTCCAACGAGCAGGTCAATTACGATCAGGTTAGTCAAGAATCTACTCGTCTTAACAACTCAAAGTTGTTGCTAATTATGGTCAGACCAGTCTAGAATCGTTGTTTTGCTTGTTCACTGCATACCACGAATTGTCGCCTGTAAATCGTGACTCTAAAATCACTGTTAGAATGGCTGATTTGTGGGGAATCGTCGTTCGCCTGGCAGGTGTTTGTGAGGGACTTTGTGCCGAGTGGGTTGGCGTTTTTGATGAATGGGGAGTACGAGATAGTGAAGAACTTTCTACTAAAGACGCTGCATCTTCAATCGTGGGAGAAGACGGTGGATCATTTCAAGCTAGGAGAAGGGGTGATGCCGGCGAGCTTCAAGGTGATCCACAAGCCGGAGAGGAACATCGAGACGTTGATTGCCGACTTCGGCGAGACAGCGATCGGTAGAGTGGCGCCTGTCGATTCCGGGTTCTGGTGGATCATTCTGCTTCGTGCCTATACCAAATCTACAGGGGATTCGTCGCTTGCCGAAATGCCGGCTTGCCAGAGAGGAATAAAGCTCATCCTTAGCCTCTGTCTCTCCGAAGGGTTCGACACTTTCCCCACTCTTCTCTGCGCGGACGGCTGCTCCATGATCGACCGCAGAATGGTAAGGGCTTAACAATTTTGCATCTTCCTTCTCTTTTTCTCTCTTAGGCATTTCGTCGAACAGTTCGGCTACAATTGAGCTTGAGTAATGAGTCATGTTTCTCTCCTCCTATCAGGGCGTCTATGGCTACCCAATTGAGATACAGGCGCTGTTCTTCATGGCTCTCCGATGCGCCCTGACACTTCTGAAGCAAGATTCGGAGGGAAAAGAGTTCGTGGAGCGGATCGTGAAGCGGCTCCACGCTCTGAGCTACCACATGCGGAGCTACTTCTGGCTGGATTTGAAGCAGCTGAACGACATCTACCGCTACAAGACAGAGGAATACTCGCACACGGCGGTGAACAAGTTCAACGTGATGCCGGACTCTCTCCCCGACTGGGTTTTCGACTTCATGCCGTGCCGCGGCGGGTACTTCATCGGGAACGTGAGCCCGGCGAAGATGGACTTCCGGTGGTTCTGCCTGGGCAACTGCATAGCGATCCTGTCGTCGCTGGCCACGCCGGAGCAGGCGGCGGCGATCATGGACTTGATCGAGGCGCGGTGGGACGAGCTGGTCGGGGAGATGCCGTTGAAGATCTGTTATCCGGCGATTGAAGGGCACGAGTGGCGGATTGTGACCGGGTGTGACCCGAAGAATACACGGTGGAGCTATCACAATGGCGGGTCTTGGCCAGGTCAGCTTTCTTTCTTGGTTGACTGATGCTTTGACCCTCAGTCGTGCCCACATGGGCTTATAGTTAATAATTTTGGGTCCAAATTAGCAGCCCACTAAACAAAATTACAAAATGGACACCAAATTATTTTCTTAAATCTAAGAAAACCAAAACCAAATAAATTAGATTTGTTTTTTTTTTTAATTTTATTGGGTATTCTTTAGGAGATCACTATAATTTTGATTTTTAAGCAAAATTCATTTTAATTTAAAGTAATGTATGGTTTGAATAGTACAGTTTGATTCTATTGTTTATGGTAAAATGGATTATAAGATATTAATTAGGAAAATTTTAGTTTAATAACTACGGTAAAAGTTTGGTTTAGGTGAGGTTATACCCGTCTTTGTGAAAGCGTATCGTATCCAAAGCCATAATAGGAAAAATCTTCTACAGGGTAGACGATTTTAGCAGCGTAAAATGGTTGAACTCCGGTTAAACTATGGTTTTTGCATAAATTACCTACCGTTGACTTTTCTGATACAACCTGCTATACGGTTTTACAATCATTGGGTTAAGTGATTATAAATTCGTATGAGAACAAATACAATCGCCCTACCAGATTGTGAAGGCATTCATCGTGTGTGTTGACATCGTTGAATCGTCCTATCAAATAGATCCTGATTGAATTGATAGGATTGGTTTCACCTTTCTATGTACAGTTCTTCTGTGGATGCTGACGGCGGCCTGCATCAAGAGCGGCCGTCCACAGATAGCACGGCGAGCATTAGAGCTTGCGGAGAGCCGGTTGGGGAAGGACCATTGGCCGGAATACTACGACGGCCGGCTAGGGCGGTACGTAGGGAAGCAGGCGAGGAAGAATCAGACATGGTCGATTGCTGGCTACTTGGTGGCCAAAATGATGCTGGAGGACCCTTCACATTTGGGGATGGTGTCCCTTGAGGAAGACAAGTTGATGAAGCCAATGATGAAGAGATCGACCTCCTGGACTTGTTAAATACGCCCTTTCCAACAGCTGAAACAACGCCATCAAATTACTGTCGAGATTTTGGCTGTAATGTGACAGTTTTATACGTTAACTTCCCAGTCTTGTTGCTTTAGATAATTTGGAGGAATTTGTCTAATTGTGGATTTTGGTTTCTCTCCTTTCTTCCCTATGTTTCTTTGTTTGCTTCTTGCTCTGGGTTGTAAATGTAGAGAGAATGAACTGCAACAGCTAAAAGATACCCAAAAGATTCCGTCAAATATCCCATATGGAGTAGAAAAGGAACAAGAATGGCGATACATAATTGCTTATTTAGTAGGATGGCAAATTGGTTAGACGGATATTTCAATGTTCATATCTGTTTTATATTAAGTGTGGATTTGGTTGAGTAATATCCATGTGAATATGAATTGGGTAGGTCGAGTAATGCCATTAGAAGAAAACAAATGCAAAAACTTAATTACTTTGAGAAAACACTTCATGAAAGAAAATGATGATAATTAAACGAGTAATTAAGTCTAAATAATAGAAAGATAAAGTCTTGCGTCTATATAAAGTTCCATCGAGGGAAAACATGATTGCAGAATAATGGCTTAGCCTAATGGTAATATTACTAGTCTTGAACCTGGTCACTTGAAGATTCAAGGTTCGAATTCCTTAAGTAGTATATAACTATAAAAAATAATATTTGTCACTTTTATATAAAAGAGTCAAAATAGGAGAAATACAAACAGGAAATAACATATGTCAAACGCGAGGTAGGTCGGATTATACTCGATAGTAGGGGTGTGCAACGGTTCGTTCCTGTCAGAGCCAAACTATGGAGAATACAATCGAATTTGAAGACGTCTTAGGACCAGACCAACTGTGCATTCAGTTGGCTTTGGTCTGGTTTGGTCCGGCCCAAATGTCAATTCGTATATTTTTCTTGAATATTTATAAAATTTATAACTAACGATCGAAATTATATATTATTTGATTTAATATGGTCCAATCCAAACATTTAATTTGATCCACACCGCTACGAACCAATCCATTGCAATAATCATAGGTGTCAAAATAGAACACGATCTGATTAACCTGCCCGATTAACTCGACCTGCAACCCGAATTGACTAAAAGTGAACAACCCGCAACCCGCCCGACCCGCAACTCGATTGACCCGCAACCCGACTGACCCGCAACCCGATTAACCTAAACCCAATTTACCCGCAACCCGATTAAACCCGAACCCGATTAACCCTAACCCAATTGATCTGAACCCGACTAACCCGTAACCCGACCGATTCAACCCGAACTTCACCTAATCCACTTGAATAATTATTATATTATACAATACATAATTTTTCAAAATAAAGTTTTTCATTCTAAATTTAGGTAAAATTTATTTTTCATTTCTTATAGGGGATTTAAAAAAATATGAAACTCACGTGATATTATGTATTTTAAGAAAATTACAAAAATTGAAACATGAACGTCACCTGAACACTAAGTTCTTTAACAAAATTAAAAATTTAATATGAAATATAAAATCAACACAATGTCAATATTGATAATGAAGAATTAATAATTGAGATCGTTGACAATATTAGTATAATATATAAATTAAAATTTTTGTTAATTAAAATATTCAATAAAATTATAAATTACATATAAATAAAGTAAAGTAATGTATTTATTAATTTGATACTTTTAAAAGAAAAGAGGAAAATTTTGGTGTATTCAACTTATTGGAAAGAGAAAAAAGAGGGAAATTTGGTTATTTGAATTTTTGAGAAAAGAAACAAGGGGGAATTTTGGTGGTTTTGATTTGTGGGAAGAAAAAGAAATGGAAAAGTTTGGTTCTTATAAAAAAGGTTTAATACACTTGTATATCCAAATCTTTCACGGTTATGCCAATAATATCCAAATCTCCCGAAATACCACTTATATCCACTTCCGTCCAATTCTTTAAAGCTGTTAACGTTAAGTGTGACTGGGCAAACGGAGATGCTGACGTGGCAAACTCTAATCTTCAATTTTGTTTGTAAATATACACGTGGATTTATGAAATGGAAAAAGAATTACAGAGTTAAAATTTAAAAGCCCACTGCTCAGTCTCATCTCTTCCCATCACCCATCTCTTCGCCTTCAAAGCATGTTCGTCGGATCCATCCAACTCCGACCAAAATTTACCAAGACAAAAAATTATCCCTAAATCAAATCTTGCGTCACCCACTTTTGTTCCAGTCTGCCGTTCCGTATCGCCGTTGCGGGCCTCATTCTCCGTTCTCCCTCTAGATGAGGGGTTACTCAATAGGGCTCATTTGGATAAGGATGAGATGAGGTTAGGGTTTTGGAAAGACGAAGAGAATCCGTCGCTGCCCAAATCCCCCTTTCTCCGAAACCCTTTTCGGCTCCAGCAACTCTCAAATTCTCTCCTCATGAAACCGCCTCCAAAATCGTCTCCGCTAGACCTTTCCACCGCCCTCCGATTATAGCCTATCCACGACATCGACGTCATCGACAGGTCGCAAATCCGGTGGCAAATCTGGTCTCAATTAAAGGAAGAGAACAGTACGAGGGGTAACTACTAGTTCTAGATCTCGTTGCCGCCCTCAAACTCTTTGCAGTTGGATCTGTACCCAGACCAAATTTCGCCACATGCTCCTCTTCTGAAGTGCTTCTGAAACAACAAGGCATAGTCAGCGACAGGGGGAAGTTTTGAATTATGGATTTTTTTTGTTTGAATGGGTTTGTGAATTCGAGATTTTCAAAGAAGAGGAGATGAAGGTGGGAAGAGGAAGAGAAGGTTAACGAAGGCGATAGTGGGTGAGCGCTGGGTAACGAAGAGAGGAGCAGAGCTGGGAATAACCTAGGGGAGAAGCAGAGCTGCCGCGAGATTTGGATCCCCTGCAGAATTTGAAGTCGATTTGCTTGGAGAGAATGATTCCACCGCCGCCGTCGGCCCAGGTCGTTGTTAGCCAGAGCAGTTCACAATCGGCACAGAACGTCGGGAAATCGAAATTGGCGGAGAATTGGGGAAATCGAAGATATGGGATGGGATGGGATGGGGGGAAATTATTTTAAATTATTTTTCATTTCTTACGTGTCACCTTTGACATAGTTGGCGCTTACGTGTCTGCTTAGTTGGCGCGCAGTCAGCTTGCCGTCAGCTATGTTGACGGAGTTATTAACGCCGTCAAAGTATCTAACGGAAATAGATAGATTTGGCAAAGAACAACTTTAAAACATGGCTATAAGTGGTATTTCAGAAAATTTGGATATTATTGGCACAACCGTGAAAGTTTTGGATATACAAATGTATTAAACCTATAAAAAAAAGTAATGTATTTGGTAATTTGATGCTTTTAAAAGAAGAGAAAAAATTTTGTGTATTCAACTTTTTGGGAAGATAAAGAAGAGGGAAATTTGGTTTTTTGAATTTTTGAGAAAAGAAACAAGGGGGAATTTTGGTTGTTTTGATTTGTGGGAAGAGAAAGAACTGAGAAAGTTTGGTTCTTTTGATTATAAAAGAGAAATAAGGAGAGAAGTTTTGAGTTTTCAACTTTTTGTGTAAGGAATGAAGAAAGAGGGAAATTTGGTTCTTCAATTTTATGGAAGAGAAAGATGAGAGAAATTTGGTTCTTTCAATTTTATGGAAGAGAAAGAAGAGGAAAAATTGAGTGTTTTTAATTTATGGAAGGAGTTAGGAGGGAAATTTTAGTATTTTAATTTTTTTTTGAAAAGAAAGAAGGAAACAAATTTAGTTTTTTCAACTTTTGGGTTTTCAAAATTTTAGCCTTTGAAATTTGAATCTTTAATTTTATATGGAGTGCATGACTAGTTAAATTTATTCTTATATGCTTTGAAGGCTAATATATATATATGTAAGGCGAGTTCTACGGTACCCAGGGTGAATTCTGCGGTACCGCATACCTTGAGTAAGAAAACGCTATCCAGAACTTGAATTGACTGATCTTTTGAACATGTACTATACTCTAACTCTTAAATATCAAAATCTAGGTCTTAATTCTATAATCTTATATCCCAAGATCAATTTAATTAGAAACAGTATTCGATGGTTATGATTCATCCAAATATAGGCAAAAAAGGAATGCACCATCTTAGGGTTTATAGTTTATGATTTAGATAACTAGTAGCTAGGGCTCTCTCATTAAGGGTTAGGGTATATTATCATGTCCAAAAATCGTGCTAATTCGAGGTCTAGATAACGTTTTCATACTCAAGGTATGCGGTACCCCGAATTTCACCCGAGGTACCGTAGAAGACACATATATGTAATTGTTTATAGGCTAATAACTAAATTAACCATTAGTTACAACAATCATTTGTTTTACATATCACTTAATTTGTCTACTTGTTTTCTATGCTTCTACATTTATTGCAACTTCAACACTACATGATCGTTGTTTTACAACATTTAGTAAAATTTTGGCACATTTAAGTTGTGTTCGTGTTGAACTTTTATTTCAAAATGGGAGTTAAACTTTGCATGTTAAGTCATACGATTGCACTAACTCAGTCAGGTTGCGGGTTTGAACATTTTGGTTAATCGGGTTGCGGCCTTGCGGGTCACTTTGGAATGGGAAATGAGAGGGAGGTTTGGGTGGGAACTTTGGAATGGAAAATTTATGGGCGGGTGAATATGAGCCAACAATTATACTAAACTTGATAAGTAATCTTTGACGGTTCGTTGTTTAGGGTATAAAGTATATGGTTAGGGTATATGGTATAAGGTACAGATGGTTAGGGTATAAGGTATTGATGATTTTGACGGTTCTAAGTTAATTATTAACATATTTTCTCTTGAAGTCATTTGAAGTCTTTAATAGCAGGAGATCCCTTTTTAAGGGTTAATTGCATGGTTGGTCACTGAGATTACGAAAAACGTTCATGTTTGGTCACTCGAAATATTTAAATCCATTCATAGTCACTAAATTTAGTAAAACAATTCAAGTTTGGTCACTCTCCGTTAAACTTCGTTAACTTTGTCTAATGTGGCAGTCAACTCTCAAAGTTGACTGTTAAATGTATAACGTAGCAATTAAAAAAAATTCAAAATTTCCACCTCACTACCACTAGCACTACCACTAAAATGAAAAATAAAAATAAAAATAAATTGAAAACGCCTGCAACCTTTTTGTTTCGCCGCTTAAGACTTCCCTTTCCTCTTCTTCTTGTCGCCGCTGCCAATCCACCGTCGTCACACCTGTTCACACCAACAACACCCACCTGCACTTTCCCCTTACCCCAATGAACAAGAAAATTCCTTCTTCAACGACCCATGGAGAAGAAGGAGAATAGAGGTGGTGTTGGTGGTCCGAAGCTGAAGAAGGTCGTCGATCTATGGACAACGACCATTCAGATCTTGCCGTCGGGGAAGTTTTACTTGGAGCTAGGGGAGGAGGCCATGGATTCATTAGCAGCCGAGGAGTTAAGGTTTCCAATTCCAACAATCTCTTCTGACTCCGCCATTGTCGCGAAGCTCTGTGAGGGTGCCAAAAGCGGCGGAGGAGCAGGAAAAGAAGAGCGGGAGAGACAGGAATCACAGTAGAGCTGCATAGGAGCAAGTTTCGCTGATTTGGAGAGAAGGATGGCCGAAATTTGGAGATCGATTTATCCATTCCCTTCCTACTTCTCCACTGGATCGATTTATCGAGTCGCGAAAGTTGAAGCAAAGCGGCGACGGTGGGCAACAAGGGACTGACGACGACAATGGCGGCATTGGTCACCGTTCCGCCTCTTCTCTCTTCATCTTTCTCGATCTGGCCTACCTCACCTCTCACATCTCGTCTGCGAAAATCCAAGACCGAGAAATTGAAGAACCCTAATCGCCATTGCGAACTTCCTCCTGGAAAAATCCCAGATCCAGAAACTGAAGAACTCTAATTGTGGCGGCCACAACCACCATTTTCACCATCAAAACTTCATTGAAATCATCCTATTCCAAAGTCTATTGGGCGAGAACTCAGTCAAGAAAATCTCCTCTTTTCACCATCAAGTCTATTGGGATCATTGCCAAATCCCAACTAGCAATTCAAAGAAACGGAATCGGAAAACCCCCGATTCAACAGCCCAGTCGTAGCCCCGTTTAAGGCATTATTCTTTTGGGGAAAGATGTTAGAAACAAGGTTTCTAACGTGTTTGGGGATTGGGGAAATTAGCTAGATCAATTAGGGATTGATCTAACTAGGTATTAGGAGTTGGGAATTGAGAACAAGAAGGGGAAAAGAGAGGGGAGCTGCTGCCGCAGCTTTGGAGGGAAGAGGGAAGGGAAGTCGGCGCAGGAGAGAGAGAGTGTGAGATTAGGTTTTAGGTTTTGATCTGTAATTGCTTAATGAGAAATAAGACCACTATTACAGATTATATAGTCTGCATAAGTCCTATCTGCTACCCAAATAATAAAACGTAACAATTGACTCACTGCTTATTCCCCAAATACCCAAATAATACCCCAAACCTTAAAAACCGACAATAATCCGAATTAATAAAAACGACAATTAATGTGTTTCCCACATCCCCGCTTCCTTCGAAAAACAACCTTGTCCCCAAGGTTGTCCCTCTAGCTCACTAGGCCTCCTCCTCGCCATTTCCGCCGTCCTCGACCTCATCTTCTGCTTCATCTTCCCAGCGCCCGACTAACATCATCAAATCCGGCTTCGGGCACTGATGTCCGATGGTGAACCGGCCATCACAGTTGAAGCACTTGCCTTCCCGCCTCTTCTGCTCAATTTCAGCCGGCGACAGTCGCACGAACCCTTTCGGGATGGCCCGCGGTCCCAGCCTGGCCACCGGAGCAGGACCGCCACTGCTCACGTTAGCCCCAGTCGAGCCTCCTTCTGGCGCCCCTCCTGTGCCGCCACTGCTTCCGCTGCTTCCTCCTCCTCCACTCGACTTCGAGAAGCGGCCAATGGTGCTCCTCCAGCTAGCCAGTTCTTCCTCCTTATGACCTGCAAGACGGAAAGCAGTTTTCAAGGAATCGGGCTCGAACACTCTGACTGCCGCTGCTATCTCGGGCTTGAGACCCGCCATGCACAGCCCGACCAAGGTGTCCTCCGAGACTCCTTTACACTGGTTCCCCAACTTGAAGAACTCCGCACGGTATTCATCCACCGTGCCGGTCTGCTTCAGCTTCGCCAACTGCTCCGGAGCCCACCCATCTGACTTCCCAAACTGATAGCGGAGCTCTTCCTGAAACATAGGCCAGGTGATCAAAGTTGATGTGGCCGCGTAGGATCTCTCCATCCATTCCCACCACTGGAGCGCGTCTCCCTCCAAATAGAATGATGCCAAGTAGGCATTCCTTTCCTCCGGAATCGGGTGTTTTTTAAACCACTTCTCAACTGCATACAACCAAAGGCCTGCATCCTCTTACCCATTGAATTTTGGGAACTCAATGGTCGGAGGCTTAGTTCGAAATACTACTCCATCCATTCCCTCATAGTTCATATAATGGGACCCATACCTGTCATTTCCTGGCGTCCTCCACGGCTGCCAAAAGGAGGAACCCTGTATCCGGCTTGGGTTTCCATGCGCATAGTCACCGGGGTAGCTGCCTTGTGGATTCGGGTACCCTTATGGAGCGTGAGGTTCCTCGTACGGACCCTCCCAGGCGGCTGGTCCCCTGCTGTCCGTCCTTCTGATCGGCGGAGCGGTCGGGCTCGGTCGATGTCCGGTTCGACCCACCTTGGGTCGACCCATTCTGGTCCGACCCGGCCTGGTTTGGCTCACCTCTGTTCGACTAGCATCGGTCCTCCCAATCCCGGCTCGACCAGTTTCGGCCTGACCCACCTCGGCCCAGCCGCCTCGGTCCGCCCCCCATGAGCCGACCCCCCTTGCCCCAACTGGTCGGCGGCCCTCCTCGGCCCACCAGGCCCCCTCTGGTCCATCTCCGGTTCAGCGCACATGGCCTGTTGATCCGCCAGGCCCAGTTTGTCATACTCGGGCCCATCTTCCAACTCCAACCACCCCAGCCCGTTATGGACATTTGTGTAGTGACCCAACAGCCTGGGCCCATTATTCCTAGGAGGCCCGTCTGTGTCATAACCGGGCATCTTAGCCTTTCCTTTTCGGGCCGCGATCTCTTGGGCCGTAGGTGTCGGTAACAGACCCGGGCCCACTCCTAACCCTGCCCGCACTGGGCCTGCCCCTGCTCCCGGCCCGAACTCGGCCGCAGTTAGCGCCGCCGGCGCCTTCTCCGCCGCCACCATCGTCGCGCCTTGGCCGGCGGTCACCGCCCCCTGCACCCCAGCCGCGGCTTCCACCGTGGGCCCCTCGTCGCCGATCGCGCCGCCAAGGGCGCTGCCGCCGCCGACCTCCAGCTCGGCCGAGCTCAGCGTCCCCCCAGCTCCAGTCTTCTGCTCCTGCAGCGAGGCTACCGCTCGCATCAGATCCTCCAGTCTCTGACGAAGATCATCATCATCCGCCTTCGCCTCCACCTGCACTCTTGCCAGGCCATCTTCGAGCCGAGCTAATGCCTCAGAGTGCTCGTGCACCACCTCCTTGATCGCCTCCAGTTCAGTCTCATCCTCCACCCTTCCGTCGAGCCCCATGTTGCTCGCCTCGGTGGTTTCCTCTGCTGCCCGCGCCGCCTTCTCTGCTGCCTTCATCGATTTTGCCGACACCATTGTTGTTTGCCCTGGTTCAAGAGCTCAAAGAACGCACTCTCGAACCTTGCTCTGATACGAGATGTTGGAAACAAGGTTTCTAACGTGTTTGGGGATTGGGGAAATTAGCTAGATCAATTAGGGATTGATCTAACTAGGGATTAGGAGTTGGGAATTGAGAACAAGAAGGGGAAAACAGAGTGGAGCTGCTGCCGCAGCTTTGGAGGGAAGAGGGAGGGGAAGTCGGCGCAGGAGAGAGAGAGAGAGAGAGGGAGATTAGGTTTTAGGTTTTGATCTGTAATTGCTTAATGAGAAATAAGACCACTATTACAGATTATATAGTCTGCATAAGTCCTATCTGCTACCCAAATAATAAAACATAACAATTGACTCCCTGCTTATTCCCCAAATACCCAAATAATACCCCAAACCTTAAAAACTGACAATAATCCGAATTAATAAAAACGACAATTAATGTGTTTCCCACAAAAGAAGGGAGTGTTTATTTGTGTGTGTGGTGAGGAAGGAGAAGTCGGTTTGGGGTGCGGAGGTTGCTGGTTTGATAGCCAAGTTGAAAAGAGCGGTTAGGTGGCATGTGAACGGGAAAGGGCCCGCTGTCGCCTCGCTAGTCTCTAGTCCTTGTGTTGGACGCGGTGACATTTTGCTGACTAACTTGGTGTTGCTAGCTAGCTGAGTTTTGGCTTAAATGTATATCTCGTTGGCCAGCCGTAGCCCCGATTCAACAGCCCAGCCGTAGCCCCGTTCAGAGGCTGGGACGGAGGAGGAGGAGTAGAAGAAAAAGGCTAGGGTTGTGGGTCCATGCGGCGGAGAAGGAGCGATGGAGCTAGGAGTGAAGTGGAGTTGATAATTAGTGAGGTTTAGGGAAATAAAATTAATTATTTTTATTTTTCATTTTAGTTGTAGTGATAGTGAGGTGGAAATTTTGAATTTTTTTAATCGCCACGTCATACACTTAACGGTTAACTTTAAAAGTTGACTGCCACATCAGACAAAGTTATTAGAGTTGGACGGCGAGTGACCAGACTTGAATTGTTTTATTAAATATAGTGACTATGAATGGATTTAAATATGTTGAGTGACCAAACTTGAACATTTTTCGTAATCTCAGTGACCAACCATACTATTAACCCCCCTTTTTAATTTATGTTTATGGTACGTGGTTAGGGTACATGGTATATGGTGTAGAGTATAGGATATATGGTTAGAGTATAGCAATTAGCAAATATCACTTTTTCATCTGTGTTTTGAAAATATGAATTTCACATTTAGATTAACTATACTAGCAAAATCACAACTCATAAGGATATATGATTAGGGTATAGGGTATGTGGTTAATGTATAATGTATTGATGGTTTAGATTATACGATCAAAATTATAACTCCTTTTATCACTCTACTTTTGCCAAATACCACACACCAAATACCAGATTTGCATGTTTAGACCAAACGAGATACTTTAATCCAATTACTATTGAAATAATACTAAAATATCAAATAAATAATTAATGATGTCTTTTGGTTGCGAATGTTGATATCACCATTACTATTAGCTAGTGTACTTTACCAATTATGATTAATTACATAACAAGTTTGCAAGTCATACAAATTGATTCAACATTTTGACTAATTTTTTAATTATATATATATATATACAAGGTAGAAAGAAATTGGTTAAAAAGTTGAGAAAATATTTTAAATTAGTGTAATAAAATGTGTAAGTTGGTAACGAGTAATGAGTAAGTTACTCGATGCGCTGACCCGAACAACCCGCAACCCGATCCGCCCGCAACCCGCGCGACCCAAAGTCCCATGAACCCGCAACCCGATTTGCCCGCAACCCGATTGAACCCGAACCCGATGAACCCGCAACTCGACTAACCTGCAACCCATTTGAACCCGAATCCAATGAAACCGAATCCGATAAATCTGCAACCTGACTAACCCACAACTCGTTTGAATCCGAACTCGATTGAAACTAGCCCAACCCGCCGGATTGACACCTTGCATATCACTGACTAGTAGTATGGATTTAAATTACCATCGTTGAATAAACTTGTTTAGGAGTCGGGACATGGAAACAGAGGAAAAAACAATGATGACCAAGCCAAAGTGTTGGGCTTTGGCCTTTGGGTGCGATGACTGGTGAGATTAGATAGATGGAACAAACAAGCAAACAAATGGAACAAATGGGAAATCTGAAATCGAAAGGTAGATGAACAAATCTTAGTGACCGGCCCATTCGTTATCTATCTTCTTCCTACCACCCACCAAACTCACTTCTCGTCTACACGTGTTCGTCCATCCACTCCACTGCCCTTCCCTACCCATTCACGCCTCCATTGTTTTCCTTCATTCCGCAGTCGGACTCAAATCCAAATCCAATCCGGGCCGGATCCCCTCCGCCCCATCTCATACGCCACATTTCTCCATTTCCCTCTACCCTGATCTCCACGGCAATTCATCAGCAACGCTGTCAGTCAGTCAGTCGAATTGTTTGTTTGTTTCCTTCTTTGCTCTGTTCTGTTATCTATCTACTTCCCTCGTCCGCTTCGCCCCTAGGGCTCTGTAATTGCAATTGAGAGAAAGAGAGGGTTGTGAAAGTTAATTATAGCTTGTTTGAGAGAGATGAAGGCGACGAAGCGGCCGATCCACGCCGTGTCGACATGGGTGCGGAGGCAACCGCCAAAGATCAAGGCTTTCCTGGCTGTAATCTCCGCCATGACCGCGCTCGTGTTCCTCCGGATGATCGTTAACGATCACGACAATCTATTCGTTGCCTCCGAGGCTGTTCACGCCATTGGGATCTCCGTCCTTATCTATAAACTCACCAAAGAGAAGACTTGTGCTGGTAACTAAGAATGCCTGCCCTTTAATTTTCATCTGTGGATTTTGTCGCAGATTCTGATCATTTGGTTCTTTTAATGTGATTGATTTTGCTGTTCTTGCTGTGGGGTTTTGAGGTTTTCCAACATTGGACATTGGTAGAAGATTGAAAATGGATTGTTGCCTTATTGGGTTCTGTTCACTTCATTTGGACGATGAGCTATTTGGAAGTGTTTTAATTGATGGGTGCTTGTTTTAATAGGAATTTGAATGAAGAAATGCTCTGAATGGACATTGTGGTTTCATGAATTGGTGGTTTCCATCTTTGTTGAAGTGTTTTTGAGTTTGTTTGCAATATGCAGGGCTATCATTGAAGTCTCAGGAGTTGACGGCTCTGTTTTTAGCTGTTAGACTCTACTGCAGCTTTGTTATGGAGTATGATATACACACGTTACTTGATTCAGCTACACTGCTGACTACTTTGTGGGTAATTTACATGATTCGCTTCAACTTGAAGTCCAGTTACATGGAGGAAAAGGACAACTTCGCTATATACTTTGTGGTGAGTCTTTAGCTTTCGTTGTTGTTGTAACTTCCAGGGTTCTGGTTTTGGATTCTGTTCATGAAGAGTTCATTTATCTGCAATTTCCTTTATGGTCTTCAGTCAAAAGGTAGGACTCTAAATGCTAGATGAACCAAAAGCAAAGTGCTCAGCAATAGTAGAGTAGTGGAGAACTTGTGTGCTTCCTCCTTATACGTTACTCGTGTTTATTTCATCAATGACGTTCTCTTTAATTTCCATGGCAATGCAGGTGATTCCATGCGCTGTGCTGTCTTTGGTCATTCATCCGACCACTCAACACCTTTTCTTCAACAGGATTTGTTGGGCTTTCTGTGTCTACCTTGAAGCTGTTTCTGTATTGCCTCAACTCAGGGTGATGCAGAACACCAAGGTATTGGATTGAAGTTGTACCTTGCAGTAATTGATAACTAAGAATGCATGAAAAACAGCGTCGACATGTTTTTGGGTTGATCATTGCCTATGACGTTATGATTCTGACTCTTCTTCATTCCTGATAATCAGATTATCGAGCCATTCACAGCACATTATGTATTCGCACTTGGAGTTGCACGTTTTCTGAGCTGTGCACACTGGGTCCTCCAGGTTTATGACACACTATCTATAACTACTTGTTCTCCAATTTTGTGTGGACATGATGTGGAATCTCACTGCACAAATCCTTCCTGGATCTTAAACCATTGCACATGTTGAACCATTGATTCAATCAACTAATCCATGTTCTGCTTCATCACGAAAAAAAGGTACTGGATACTCGAGGCCGTCTACTGACAGCACTGGGCTATGGGTTGTGGCCTTCTATGGTCCTACTTTCCGAGATAGTGCAAACCTTCATCCTAGCAGATTTCTGCTACTACTACGTCAAGAGGTACGATCATCAATATGCATCATTCCTAAACGTTTACACTTCTTTTCGTGTTGTGATTTCCCCTTTCTAAGTCATGTTCTCGTCTTTGCTTTGCAGTCTGGTGGGAGGGCAACTAGTTCTCCGTCTCCCGTCAGGAGTGGTGTAAGAGGGCATCCTTTTACGAGCATCGTCAGTTTGCGTAGGGGGTGTGATGGGTAGCTGCTTGATTTGGCTTTCTCTAAGAGCTGTTTCCATGGCGGGTTTGGTTAGTTTGCTTTGGTGCTTTGTTGACGCGCGTCCACATCGTCAGTAGGGTTTGGTCTAGTGAGGAAGACTGTAAAGTTCGAGTAGCAGTTCTCTTTGCTGTTTGGATATGCATGTTTTCTGGCTAATAATCTTAGTAGTAGTAGATTTTACCTTCCACCACCATGTATATGTTTCAATCTTTGGTAGTCGTAGTCGTAGGTGGTTTTGGGCGTTTACATGCTCTGGTTCCATCATCCAAGTGGGTGTGAAGTCTCTCACCAAGAGCAGAATTTGGGCTATGGGCTCTATGTTTGGGCCTTCCATGTCCAAGCTCATTTCTCCCTTTCCTTCCCCTTGCAGTCCAGTCCATTCCCTTTTTACGCAAAGAAAGGTTCAACTGCTTAGTGCTTGGGATGTGGGCAACTATAC